TGGGGTGAAGGTTGATCTGATGCGCCGCGTACCGAACCGCAAACGGCCACAGAAAATGGGGGGCAGCCGCATGCATCATAGACGTACGGGCGACGTCCATGACCATGCCGATGCGGCGCTCTGCAATCCCATTTTGCTGTGGAGAGTCCGGAAGCGTAAAGGTCTGGCGGATGCCTCGCGCACGACAGTAGGCTCGCAGAAGGCCAGAGGAGAACTCTCCGCCTCGGACAGAGTGCAGACGCAGAACAGGAAAGTCCGAGCCGAAGCTCCGCCTGAGCTGGAGACGAGCTGCGCGGATCCAGTCGATCAACACCTCAGTGACATCACCCTTGCTGCGCAAGGGGAAGACTGTGGTGTAACGCGAGTAGTCGTCAACCAGCAGCAGGAAGTAGCGCTCGTGACCCTGTCCACGGACGCGGGCCGGGCCCCACACGTCCATGTGAAGCGTCTGAGGCGGGGCCTCTGTCGGGGGAAACTGAGAGGAGTGAGGGGCAGCCCGCTGCCGCCCCTCGACATAGTGGACGCAGGTAGGGCCAGGCCCCGGAGGAAGGGGAGGGAGGGACCGGGGAAGACCATAGACAAGGACACGGGAGGCCATGCCTCGGAGACGAGGCAGGGAGGGGTGACCAAGGCGGTGGTGCCAGAGGAGAGTCTCGTGAGACAGGAGGCGACACGAGCAGGGGGCAGACTCAGGACCAGACCTGGAAGCTACTGCGAACACCTCACCCGACGCAGCTACCTGACCAGACGCAAGGACAGGAGGAGACTCAGTGGTCAGGGTGTATAGGCTCGACCTCGGCCGACGCGTAAACGTGGCCAGGTGCCGGCCTGTGCGAGCGTCTGAGCAGTGGGTCACCCGCTGACTCGCAGGAGTAAACTGGTGAACCCCCGCATCCTGTAGGTCAGCACCACTCACCAGGTTCGTAGAGAACGAGGGGAGGTAAAGACAAGACAAGGTGCCAGAGGGGGCCGCCGTACACGGGAGGACAGTGGAGAAGTGAGAAAGGACAGGACCCCCAGAGGGGTCTGCGAGGGAGACTGCAACCGGCCGACCAAGCGGCGTGAGTGTGGTGCGGTCTCGAAAGAAGGAGCGAGAAGCCCCTGAGTCAAGTGTGAAGGTGAGGGAGGCCGAAGCCGACGCGGTACCTGAGAGCGCAGACTCACCAGCACCTGAGGACGCAGACGCACTGGCACCTAGAGCAGCAGCCTCACTGGCACCTAGAGCAGCAGCCTCACCAGTACCTAGAGCAGCAGTCTCAATGCCCGGGTCGGGCGGGAAACACCGGTAACAGTCACCCTCATCACTAATAGTCACAGCATACATGGCAGCAAGAATAGCATCAAAGTCAAGATCAAAGATAGCTACACCCGCCCTAGACAGCTCACCCCAGCGGGGGATCTCAGTGGCCTCCGGGAACTGGTGACGCCAAGCGTCCGTCAGGCGGCCAAAGCAGCGCTGGGTGGGGTGTGCACCCCCACACTGCTCACCCGCGCGGTCGCCGGTGCGTAGGACGTAGGTGCATGGACCGGTACCCCCACCACGCTGACGTGTAGCATACCACTTAAAGAGCTGCTGAGGGGGGGGGATGTCCCGAGAACGCTCTTGCTGCTGCTGCTGCTGCTGCTGGCGCTGACCACCACCGGAGCCGCCCCGCTGCGTAGCGCCACCCCGACCAGCTCCACCTCCTCCACCACCGCCTCCTCCAAATCCGCCACCACCGCCGCCTCCGCTCCCACCGCTACCGCCTACGCCGCCTCCGCCTCCACTGCCGCCACCGACACCTCCACCCCCGCCACCACTCCCACCGCCACCCCCACTCCCTCCGCCGCCTCCACCGCCGCCTCCACCACCCCCGCTAGCTCCTCCAGCGCCCCTGCCTCCCTTGCCCTTGCAGAGCGGCGTCTCCCGCTGGGGGTAGACGCCGCACCGACCGACTCAAGACCAACGAGGTCGGTCGCAGCAGCAGAGGCAACAGAGGGCGAAAGGGGGGGAGGGGGAACACCCCTCAAAGACGGGGGTGCGAGGGTCACCACGAGAGGCTCCTACAGCGACTATGCTCTTCTCCGCTGCTAAGAGGGCCTTCTCAAGGAGGTCAACAGTGAGAGTGGTGGGACAGACTGAGAGGAGGTGGTCTTTGACTACACGAAGGGAGTCAGGGAGGCGGGTGACTATGTAGTAGAGAGTGATGTACATGGGGGGGGTTTCCTGGCGTAGAACTCAGCAGGAAGCGCAGCGCGGTAGCGAGTGTCACTAGTTCGGAGGTGCGTAATGAGGTCAGCAACTGTGGGAAAGGCAGCAAGGTCAGGGAAGAGGTACGGTAGCATGAGGCGGCTCATTGCAGTAGTGGCAGGGGAAGAGTAGCGCGCAACTACAGCGTCGTACAAGGTCTGAGCACTCTTGTACTGACTAAAGTGCGCGCGCTCAGTGGTAGGCAGGTGGCGACGCACAACAAGACGTGCAGCAGCATCGCGAGTGGCCCACTGTGAGCGAACAGTGGCGTCAGCATCGGCACTAGGGGCAGGGGAAGCACCAGATGTGAGGTCAAAGAGGGAGAGACCGTCTGCCCTATCGCACTGTAGGAAAAGCTGCAGGTCATCTACCCAGACGTCAAAGTCAATGGCCCGACCCTCAGCGTCAAAAGTGAGAACACTGGGGGTAGCCATGACAGCAGTAGACTAGCAGCACTAACTGTAGAGCAAGGCAGTCAGTGACAGAGGCGCTGCGCTCACCAGATAGGGCGGTTCGGGCGGCTCGGCAGCAACTGCGGCTCGGCGACACCCGCGGCTCGGCTCCTCAGCTGCTCAGGCGGCTCGGGCGGCTCGGGCGGCTCGGGTGGCTCGGGCGGCTCGGGCGGCTCGGGCGGAACGGGCGGCTCGGGCTGCTTAGCGGCGCGGGCGGCTCGGCTACGTGGGTGGTTCGGGCGGTATGGGACGAGGCCGGGACCGCAGGTAGTGCGCCGGGGCCGCAGGTAGGGCGGCGGGGCCGTTGGTAGGGCGGCGGGGCCGCAGGTGGGGCGGCGGGGCCGCAGGTAGGGCGGCGGGGCCGCAGGTAGGGCGGCTGGGCCGCAGGTAGGGCGGCTGGGCCGCAGGTAGGGCGGCTGGGCCGCAGGTAGGGCGGCGGGGCCGCAGGTAGGGCGGCTGGGCCGCAGGTAGGGCGGCGGGGCGGGGCCGTGGGTAGGGCGACGGGGCCGGGTCGAAGGTAGGGCGACGGGGTCGGTACGCAGGTAGGGCGACGGGGCCGGGGCCGGGGCCGGGGCGCAGGTAGGGCGACGGGGCCGGGGCCGGGGCGCAGGTAGGGCGACGGGGCCGGGGCCAGGGCGCAGGTAGGGCGACGGGGCCGGGGTCGGAGGTGGGGCGACGGGGCCGGGGTCGTAAGCAGGGCGACGGGGCCAGGGCCGGGGCGCAGATAGGGCGACGGGGCTAGGGCCGGGGCCGCAGGTATGGCGACGGGGCCAGGGTCGCAAGGGAGGGCGACGGGGCCGAGGTCGCAGGTAGGGCGACGGGGCTGGGGCGCAGGTAGGGCGACGGGGCCGGGGCGCAGGTAGGGCGACTGGGCCGGGGCGCAGTTAGGGCGACGGGGCCGAGGCGCAGGTAGGGCGACGGGGCCGGGGCCGTAGGTAGGGCGACGGGGGGCGACGAATCAGGGGCCGCTAAGGCGGCGCGACTTGGCCGCTAGGGCGGCTCGACGAAGTCAGAGAAGGGAGCGCGATTCGGGCTGAGCGCGCTCCGGGCAGGAAAAAAAAAAACTTTTGACTTGGTGGGCCCTAGGCACAGTTCCCAGGAGGGAACTTGCTCGATACCATGAGAAAACTGAAACGAGAATGAATGCACTAAGGAATGGAATGTGGTACAAATATGCAACCCTAGAAATGTGTACCCCATATAGGCTACCCCACTACAGCCTACAGAACATTATGATTTGACATCTCTGTCATGTGCTTTCCCCACATCTTCACCAGGTGCTTGACGGTGCCGATGATCCGCGGAATCTCTTTGCTCCATGCGAAATGAACCAGCAGGGTGATCGCCACGCTAGCCTGCACTGCAATCTCGTTTAACACCGTCGGATCCTGCCATTCATCTGGGTCGTCGCTGAGGTAACCCTCCTCATCGACCGCATCTGAAACCTTTTCCTTGCCCTTGCTTTGCGTAGTCGCGTCAGCCGAAGAGCCAGCAGGCGCCACGTCGTTGACATTGACGTTAACATTGCCCTCTTGCGGCAGGTTGTTGATGCTCAAAGCCGATGTACGAGTCGTCAAAGCGTTGATCTCTTCCCCTCCGCGCGGAGCAGTCACCCCGTTGAAAAGCGTCTTCGATGTGACAGGCTCGGACGTTGCATCCAAGGGCTTTTTCCCGTGGAGTCCCGCAGCAAGAGCATGCACCACAGGAGATCCTTCAGGAGGAGCCATAGTGCGATGATGATAAAGGCGTCTTGAGAGCGCAGGGGAGGCTGACCGCGCAAGTAGACGCACGAGTAGACTGAGCACTGGAAGCTCCTCTTTGAGTTTGTGTTTGCTTCTCCACCAATGCCAACATATATAGCTGTCGTAGAACTTGTAAAGCTTGTAACGCACGAGCATATCAACAAAGGCGAGAACCGAGGGAAAGCCCTTGAGAACGGCACGTGCCTTGGGGAAATCGTTGTTAACTGAAACCTTGGGAGCACCTGACTATGAGTCCGATTGGTTAATGTCCGCTTGAGGAACATAAAAAGTGTACCATCGGATTCCTAATGTCTTAAAGCCAGCAGCTAAAATAGTGAACCCCCCCTTCTAGTGGGTCCACTTGAAATTCCAAACTAACTTTGTGAAGCGTCGGAAATTCGAAGTGTTGTTCTGTTTTGTTTTTCAGACACGTTCAACTATTCACAAAAAAAAAAAACCACAAAAACGTCGCAAGCATGTGCAAATGTATCGCAAGCCTGCGACGTGCAAATCCCAATCACATCGTGTGCCGATTTCTACAAGTGTTGCATGTGCAATTCACGCACAACAAACGCCTTAGGGATGGGCCTGATGGAGCGGAAAAAACAGCTTAGGAAAACCAGAATGCGGGAAAAAACAGAGAGTTTCAAGTTAGAGATAAAAAAGGGATAGGGAGGCGGGAACGAAGACGCACGGAGAGAGCTGAGTGAGCGAAGATTACGGAATGGTAGGGTGTTGGGAGAGACACTGGGGAAGGTGACGTGACCTTGAGCTCGAGCGTTGAGGTAGGTCATGGGAGGGGAGAGAAGAAAGGCGATGGGCAAGCATTTCGGGGCGAGCGCGAAGGCGCCGAGGTGGATGATGGGAGGGGAGAAACGAAGGGCGGTAGGAGAGAGAAAGGCCGACGGGAGAGATGAAGGGAGACGGAAGGGAGGAAAGGCGACAGTAGAGAGAAAGGGCGATGGGAAAGAGAAAGGGCGACTGAATAGAGGATGGGTGACAGGAGAGAGGAAGGGCGACGTGAGAGATGAAAGGAGAAGGGAGAGAGGATATGCGACGAGAGAGAGAAAGGGCGACGGAAGGGAGGAAAGGCAACAAAAGAGTGAAAGGGCGATGGGAGAGAGAAAGGGCGACGGGAGAGAGAGCAGGTGACGGGAGATTGAAAGGGCGACAAAAGGGAGGAAAGGCGACAGGAGAGAGAAAGGGCGACGGGGGAGAGAAAGGGCGACGGGGGATAGAAAGGGCGACGGGGTAGAGAAAGGGCGACGGGAGAGAGGATAGGTGACGGGAGAGAGGCGACGGGAGGGAGGAAGGGCGACGGGAGAGATGGAGGAAGAAGGGAGAAAGGATACGCGACGGGAGGGACAGGAGGGGCAAGCGCGAAGGCGACGGGAGGGACAGGAGGGGCGAGCGCAAAGGCGACGGGAGGGACAGGAGGGGCGAGCGCGAAGGCGACGGGAAGGGACAGGAGGGGCGAGCGCGAAGGTGCAAGAAGGGACAGGAGGAGCGAGCGCGAAGGCGACATAAGGGGCGAGCGGGAAGGCGATGCGAGGGCGACGGGACGGGCGATGGGAGAGCACGGGGGAGACGGGGGGAATAACGTGCCGAGCGGAGAGAAAATGGACCTAATAACTGGAAACGTAACGATTGCGCGAAACGCGAAATAATAGTTCGTCACTAGGCCACGAATAGACTACGAATCGAAGTTAAAATCGGCACTTGCCTAGGCTAAATCGACCAAGTATTCAGGTATTCTTTGCAAGGCAGAATATGAGACTTGTGGAGTAGAAAGTAGTCATGTAACCCAGGCCCAACTTGAAGTTGACGTTGGGCCCAACGATCAAAATGATCGCTGTGCAGCTGTCGTGCGGGTGCCCCACGTCGAAGGCGACTCATTGTGTGTGATGCAACATTTCGATTTTTGGCGGGAGCCAATCAAATGGGTTCGATCTGCACACACGAAAGGTTTGAAACAGTGTTTTATCAGCCCAGAGTCATTTTCGCTCCGCGACACTTTTTCAAGTTGGGACGGGGTTCACTATTTCAGCTTTCGGTTTTAAGGAGTACGAATCCAGGCTTTAATGTAACAACTGATAAGAAATTGCTAGTTTTAGAGGTTTAGTACTGTAAGGAATTTTCTCGGCATTCCTTCCGGAGTCCGACTACATCGCGTACAGCAACAGCCGTTGTTCGCCCGTTACTGCTAACGGGGCTTCGTCAACATCGTGCGCACTGTTTTGCCAAACCTCGCACTGCTGGCCCGGCCGTGTCGGCCTACGCTTCGGGACTAGCCCGAGCCTCGCTGCCAGCATAGCACTAGCTAGCTCGCACGCACCGCGTTACCGTTTGCATGTTTCGCGTATAAATGTTCGCTCATGACTTCCGCTCACATTTTGTACTAGTTTGACACCTTAGGGTACATTCCGCTGTGGAATGTGTCCCAATCGATGTGTCCCAATCCCACTTTTGCCGAGTCGCGCTCAAATTTCTCGATCCTGCATGTCCCAATCGACTGATGTATTGCGACTTTGGGCATCATCGCGACAATTATATGCGACCCACTGTGATTGGTCAACTTCCAATCTGGCACGTACCTACACCAACAGCACAAACACCGGCGATCCAGATCTGCAGAAGGGACTTGGTTACGTACGGGGAGGGCGCGGACAATACAGTACATGTCTGCGCTACCAATAATTGCCAAAACTGCAAGTACGTTCCCTACTCCTATACTACGCAGACAGTATGTTTAATCGAAGTATGCACATACTACATAACTACGCTTTCATAACCCACACACCATGGCAGAGCCTAAAACCATCCCCTTCATCCTACGCCTCCTCGTCGCATGGGTCACCTACTACTACACCGTTTTCTACGAAAACATCGCGAAGTCCTTCGTAGGCTTGATAGAGTCGGGAGTGTTCGAGGACGCTGACGAGGAGTCCTCATCGCTCGGGGACGATTACGGGGAGAACCGCCGTCACAGAGCGAGAGTACGGCGCCGACGTCATGCATTGTGGGTTGAAGACCCGCAACACATGCGGGAGAACGATTTCCAAGACCTTTTCAGGATAAACCGTGCCATACTTGAGCTTATAAAAACCGGGATGCAACTCTATCTGGAGCCAATAGTGCACCGGTCAATACTCACAATGGAGACCGCGGTGCTCATCCCTATCAAGTACCTGGCGTTAGGAATCTCCTACGTCGACATGTCGTACCTGTTCGGCGTCTCCAAAACACTTAGCCACGAGGTTGTCGACGTGTTCCTCACTGAGTTCCCCTCAATCTTCAAGGCTGCCTGGGTGCGCTTCCCCACACGCGAAGAGCTTCCCGAGATGGCACGGGGATTTGCTGCCATCAAAGGTGTACCATCAAAAGTGCAATCCTCGCTACTTAGATTCATTGCACCCGTAACAAGTACAAAACACGAACCTCCAACGCAATGATACAGTTCACCCTAGTTTTTAACCCATGCTCGTTCCGGTTCTGAGTCCATCCATCCATGGCTGATATTGACAGATACTGTTGATATTCCTTCCCTAGACTGGAATTAAGTGACGTTCCACATTGGCGGCTGATTTCTCTGCCAGGTTTAGGGTGACCTCCCACATTGGTGACCTCCCATCTTCTCGATCGATTGTATCATGGATGGGCCAATCATCGTGTGCCTTGTTTCCAGCGTTTCGCCGCTTTCCTCATTGCCTGCTCCTTGTAATTACGTCCGTACAAACGCCGCGCCACGCGGTATGTTTACCACAGTGCGCAGCGCCCCCTTGAGCTCGCCCCACCAACAACCGCATCTCCCTACCGCAATTCTCCCCTCGCACGCACGGATTTCCCGCGAAGTCAATCCAAGGCTCTTTCTTTGCTCGTCCACACACCCACGCATTCGCGTACCTGACACCTCATCCGTAATTTCCGGTTTCAGCGACGCAATTAACCCGCACACTTCCAGCCCGACGGACAGCGCACATGCTACGAGGAAGATCTCCAAGATTCCTCACGAGACAGCGAGCGAGCCCCGCACATCACGGCGGTCGCTCTTGCGCCTACCTTTGGTTCTCCTCCTTCCGCCCCTCTCCACCCACCTCCCCTCGCCTTTCCCGCTAATTGCGGACGCTGAAGCCGCGGAGACAGCCGCAGCAAACAGCAGCAGCGGCGGCAACACCAGCAGCAGCAGCAGCAGCAGCAGCAGCAGCAGCAGCAGCAGAGGTGGCACATTCACGGAGGTGGAAGGGGGAGTGCAAGTGGCGGATATTCGGCAGGGCACAGGAGCCATGCCGATGGACGGACAGACGGTGGCAGTGCATTACTACGCGCGGCTGGGGGCGAAGCAGGGCTGGCGGTTCGACAACACGTTCGAGCACCGCGACGCGAGTGGCGAGGCGATTCCGTATGAGTTTATCGTCGGGGATCCCAAGGTGCTAGTGCCTGCTGGGTTTTCCTTTGCATGCTGCTTGCTGGCAACTTCCTGTTGCCTGTTGCCTATGCCTGTTAGTTTCTGGTGGTTGTTTGTTAATATGACAATCCCAGCCACACCGGTGTAACCCGTCAACCTTACATTTGCCGGTCTGTCCAAGCCACATTTTCCTGCCTTGCCCCCACCTTCTTATCCGACCACCCACCATCGACCTTTTCTCTCATTCCATTCCATCTTCACACATCTTCAACCCGTTTGCGTTGCAGGTCATCCAAGGCCTGAGCATTGCCGTGCGGGGCATGAGGGTGGGTGGTGTGCGCAGAGCCATAATCCCCCCCAACGTATCATATCAAACCAGAGAGAATCTGCCGCTTCCCCCCAGAGTATGATTTCATACGCTGGGCTCTGTTGGGCCATGATGGAATGGGGTGGATGCACTCTTGCTGTTTGTATCTCTAGTCTCCACCATTTTACTCACTCACTTCTTCCTTATGCTCTGATCGTTGCCCCATCATCATTCCCTTTCCCGACGGACAGCCTTATGATATAAAGTAACACCCTTTTTGTCTGTGTACTTGCTTTTCGCCCATGCAGTATTCTGACAGACAGCGTCTCTTCACAACGGTTTTCAACCCAACACGCTTGGCAAATGGGGAAGGTTCTTCACTTGGCACAGTCATATTCGATATCCAGTTGTTGGGGATCCGAAGCCCAGTGTAATGGGTGTACCTGCTTAATGAGTCATGACTCAATCACACTTCAGTTTCCTCTGTGCCACATTGCCCGAAGTTCTTGTTCCTTATCAGGGTTGCACTTTCATGGAACGTTGCATTCAGTCAGTTGATTGAGCCCTTTCTTTTCAGGGTTGATTGATTGAGGGACTCAGACAGATACATGTGCTCACCCCTAAAGAAGTACATTGTACGTGTTGTGAGAATACGGCCATGTGACGGATTGCTTAGCAAAAAGGAAGTACACACTCGACTTTTACATTGCTACTAGTGGAAGCAAGCTTTCAAGCAGACTTGACAGCTGCCGCCTTGGAGGTCACAGAGTTGCAGATGGCAGCGAAATCAGGTCCCTGCAGCACAAGTTGCGCAGAACTGTACGCGTTAGATCGCAAAACAAAATGACAAAACTGACCACAAGGTCTGAAAAGCACATGAAATCGGGACAAGTTGATACTCGATGGCAGCTATCGTAATAAGCGTGATCAGGAAAGGATAGACAAAGCAGCCAGCGGCACATACCTTTAGTGAGGCACCGCCAACAAGGAAACCATCGATATCTTCCTCCTTAGCAAGCTCAGCACTGTTGGCAGCAGTCACGGATCCTGAAAGGCATAAGGACAAGAAGAAGGGGGGGGATTCAGTGGTTTGCGGAGGACTGGAATGAAATTCTAGGGGCATGCACCAAGAATGCTTGGTGACACGTTTGAACTGTGGACACGAACATGCAGACACCTCCTACCATCTTCATCCGTCTCACTTCAAAGGAATACCATAGCCGCTCCTGGTTTGAACCTTTTGATCAGACGCTCTCGTTTGACACGCAAGAGCAGCACGCTCCAAGGATAAAAGTCTCAGCAAACGCAAACCAGGGGAAAGAGCACAGCTGACGCACGCACCTCCATAGATGATGCGCGTCTTGGAGGCGACGTCGGAAGACACGTTGGTCTGCAGCCACGTGCGGATGGCCGCGTGCACCTCCTGCGCCTGCTGCGGCGACGCCACCTTGCCCGTGCCGATGGCCCACACCGGCTCGTACGCAATCACCACGTCGTCCCACGCGGACACGTGGTCTGCTCGCGGAGGCAACACGTGGACAGGGGGAGGTTCCGTGGTGCGTCATAACAAAGGGTGGTAGCTATCTCTACAAATGCAGGGGGTTAAGATTTCCAGTTTCATAGATCGTGCGTTCGCGATGGATACGGCAAGACAATCCGAGACCAAGACAGGAAACCCAGAGGCCAAATACAGATCCGTTTTCCAGCTTCAGTTTCGGATTCGAGAATCCGCATAGAGTCCGCAAGGAAGCACTGAAACGCGCCGAAGAGCCCGCATAGACCACACGGCCGCTTCAGTTCGGTTCAAAAGTTTTGTTACGAAGTGGAGTTGAGGCGTTGGGATGTTGAGACGTAGGGTTCACCTGCGGTGGCCTTGAGCTGCTCGAAGACAACGTCGAAGGTGTGTCCCGACTCCCTCTCCTCCAACAGCTCGCCCACGCACGCGATCACCTTGAGGCCCTTGGACAGCGCGTACTCCTGCTTCTGCCCGATGAACTGCGCGCAGGGGGTGGGGGAAGGAGGGCGACGGGACAGGACCGCGAGGGAACGCCGTGCGGGGAGACACGAGACAATGAGCACAGGGGTTCAGAGGGTGTAAGGGGGGAAGGCGTTGTCGCAGGACTGGGAGCGACCGCGGGATGGGTACAGCGAGAGAGGTGGAGAGGGGAACGGGTCGGGGAAACGGGGCGGGATCCGGCGTGCTCAGGACGGACGTAAAGATGGAAAAGAAGAAGATACGCGAGAAGTGGTGGTGGCAGTGGTAGGTACAGGCGGCGTACCTCGTTGGACTCCTTGAGAATGTGGCGACGCTCGGAGTGGCCGAGAATGACCCACTTTGCGCCCAGATCCACCAGCATCTCGGCACTGCGCGTAATCCAACCAATCAGCCAACCAACCAACGGGAGTCAGGGTACGCAAAACGACAAGAGGCTAATGAGAGGCTCCTGACGGCAGAGGGCGACGAGAAAGTCAGCGAGTGAGGGCGGGGAACGGGTAGGTTGGGAGGGAGGGGGAGGGGAAGGTGGGGAATGATGGGAGGTGGACGACTGTTGCACGATACATGGTCGAAAGACGCACCTAATCTCGCCGGTAAAGGCACCGCCCTTGCCGACCCAGCAGTTCTGGCCAGCCACCTCGATCCTCTTGCTGGCGGCGCCGATGACTTGAGGAAGGTAGACGAAGGGAGGTGACACGATCACATCTGGCGCGTGGGAAGACAAACAAATATGGGTCCCGGAATGCAGGAGAGGAGTACACACCGGTCAGATGATACTAGAGGGCTGTGGAGAGAACGCGGTGGGAGAACCGTCACATTGGAGGGAAACAGAATGGATCTGAAAGGCCTAGCGGTCTCGAGAGCAAAGACGCTGCATTAATCGGAGAAGAGCTATTATTGAATGAAGGGGATGAGGATGAACGTACCGACGTTGTCTTCAAGCGACTCGGCGTTGAGGTCGCTGACCAGCTTGGCGATGGACTCTGTGGTGCCGTTCTGCACGCGGAGACCGGGAGGAAGAAAACCAACGGTTTGACCAGGATGCGTCGATACCACTAGATGATAATGAACAGTGAAGTGTGTCCGTTTCCACACTACAGAGGTTGTGAGAAATGCTTCGCAAAGATGTCTCGTCACACCAACAAGCATAAGTATTGGCAAGAATGCGAGGGTTTAGCGAAACGAGTGGGTTCAGCGGTACTGTGTTCAGCCAGACTATTGAGGGAATACGAGACTCACGCATTTCCAGTTGCCACCCACGAAGAACTGTTACACGGAAAAGACAATGTAGGGTACGGAAGAAGAAAGAGTATGTGAATACAAGCTCGAGCCTGCCGACGAATGCGTTTAGACTGGGCACTATTCGATTTAGGGCGAATGCGTTTTGGACTCGAGATAGCGAGACATGATCAGCAGCACTAGGATCTGTAGAATGAGGTTGCTCCCTAATAGTAGAATGCATAGATTTCTACAAGGTAAGATCCAAGAAGGCAGCTACTCCGGAGAAGGCACAAACCTTGCCGGTCCCGGCCATGGCTGTGACGCGGCTGGAGCCGAAGGATCTCCGCAACGAGTCGAAGGCATTGCCAGGGCACGACGCTGGTCTCAAACCGCCAGACACGGCGAGAGAGTCGAGCTTCGCGGCTGTCTGCGAAAACAGGCCGCTGGAAAAAGCAGCAGCCTTAGCGAGGGTGCAGGAGGCGGCAGCCATTGTGAAGCGGAGGATTTTTCGAGAAAGTATTGCAACGAAGCTTGGCTCTCTGACCTGCGGATTGAGGATCAGATGAGCAACTGGAAAATGGTGACTTCAGAAGTGTGAGCGAGTTGTATGGATGGTGGTGAGTCGTACTGTATGTGAAGTGAATCTACTGCGGGCAAGGGCGTGCTGGCTGAATGCAGCAGCTGCAGGGGCGGCAGCAGCTGTGAGTGAAGCAGCATGGTCACGGGAGAGCCGGTCAGGGAAAGCAAAACAACTTCGCGGTTGAGGGGAGCAGCGGGGGGCGGGGGGGAGAAGAGGAGCGGAAGCGGGAGTAGGGGAGAAAGGAGGGGGATAGTGGGGGGAAAGGGAGGGGGCTTGGTGCGTGGAGATTTTCTCGTCCAGCGAACGGGCTCGCGGGAGGCAGGCTTTGGGGGTAACCAGAACAAGGGAGTTGCGGAATGGCTGGCGGAAAGTCCTACGGAAACGTAGGGGGGGATTCGGCGCGCAGCCAATCTGGCAGGCGATATTTGTGACAGGAACTGTTTAGTGTGCGGGGATCTGGGGAAACGCGGCAGGGGCTGCTCCAATTGGAAGAATCGCAAAGCGGATTGGTGATGTGGGGGAAAAGTGGCTGAGCAGGAGGGCGCAAATATTGAGGTCCAGTGAGCGCTGGAGGAAGATGGCGGCCCTGGGCATTATCCGCCACATGTCATTCGCACTTCTATTGGCTGAGGCTTGGCCAGTCGAGCTTGGCTGGCTTGCCAAATGGCAGATCTTACACCTCGTGAATGACGTGGAAACGAAAAAAGGACAAACACCACACACAAGCTTTTGATCTGCTGGACTGGCGCTCTATCAGTGAGGAAGTGAAAATGCTGCCAACAATAACATAAAGTTGAACACTGTCACGAAATTCCCTTTTCCTTACTTGGCATCCCTGCTCAACGCGTACATCACTGTAGCACCTCAGTCAGCACCGTTACCACTCACAACCATCGCATCATTCATCATCCCGCCATTTTCGCACATCGCATCCCGACCTCACGGCTCGGCTGGTAACCCGCGCTCCGGGCCTACGCTTCGACACGTTCCCAACCTCAGTCCCAGGCTCGTCGCGCGACCATTACCGTTACCACTGTAGTTTCGCTATATATTCTTCGCTCATACCTTCGCTCATTGTACTCTTGTTTCGATAGTGCAATTCTCGCTCGTTCACTCAATTGCACTCGTAACACTTGGTATCAGAGCCTACGATCCCATCTCGGACCGCATCTACACCTTCACTTCCCCACTATCTCAATTTTTGGGGGGGGTAGACGTCTCTCAGCGATACAGCACCGCCGCTCGTAGTGCTCTCTCGCAAGCACGCACGGCCACGACCGAGGCTCTCGCTGAGCTTGCCCGACACCCCCGCCATGGCCGATTTCACGCTCGCCACATTGACGCAGGAGCAACTTGATCGTCTCGTGCGTTAACTGGAGGATTCGGCGCTTGAAATCGCGACCCTCACAGCGGAACGTGACTCCGCCCGTCAACAATCCACGATAAACGTACCGACGACATCCCACGCACCAACAAACGCATCTGCACGTTCGGATGAGCCGATCATCATCTCGTCCGGCACACCAACACAACACGACAGCACGGGACAACGCTCAGGCGCAGCCAGTGAGGGCGCCGCCCAGCCGATGCCTGGCATGGGAGGAAACAGGATCGCACCAAGCCCACGGGAGCCTCGAGAAGTCCGTCGGCACGTGGAATTTGCGGCGACAAGTGGCGAACAACCCAACATGGCACCAATGCCGCTCAAGCCGCAACGCCCGCCCTGCTTCGACCCAAGTCAACGCGGCGGTCCGACAGTTCAATCGTGGGTCTTCACGATGAACGTCTTCTTCGACGTCAATTACGTCGAGTCGGACGCCGCAAAGATCCGGTATGCGGTTTCACTGCTAAGAGGCCCCGCCATGGACTGGTGGCGAGTCATCGTGACGTCGCCACGCGCCTACGAGCCACCGTCGCACGAGGAAGGGCCCTCGGGTCCAGCTGTCACCTGGAGTTCGTTCTGCGAGACCGCCCAATACAGCACGTGGGATGCGTGGTGCGCAGGACTTCGGGCGCGTTTTGAGCCGATCGCGGCTTCAATTTCGGCGCGTCAGAAACTGCGCACTTGGCGCCAGCTCGGGTCAGTTCAAGACTATACCAGCGGTTTTCTCGCACTTTGCAAGCAGGTCGGCTACATGCACGAAGCGTAGCGGGTGGACCGTTACGTCGGAGGGCTGAAGCCGGACATCTCGCACGAGATAATGCTGCGCGGACTCTCTAACTTCAACGAGATTCTCGCGCTCGCCGAGAAGATCGACATTCTACGCCGACCGAGACCGGGGTCCTATTACGGACATCGTCCTCGGGGACCGACCGAGCACGCCACTGTACACGCCGTCGCAACGAATGCAGCTGCCGCACCGTTTAAGGGGCGCTGCTTAGCTTGCAACACGCCGGGCCATCGCAAGAGCGAATGCCCAGAGGAGCTGAGGCGCCGAGGAGCAGAGCAGGGGAGGGAGTCTCAGAGGCAGGGAAACGCCAGCAGTCAGTAGAAGTTGGGCCAACTACTGACGAGACTGCCTGCTCGCCCAACCACACCGACCCTCACCGAGTCACAGTACCGATTCATGCCATCGATCGGGCTCGGATGAATAAGGAGGGTACAGCGACGGATTGCCCGGTACTAATCTACGGGAAAATACAGGGAGCAGCAGTGAAGATTTTTATTGACGGAGGAGCAAGTCACAGCTTAGTTAATACCGCAACCGCATGGAAATTACAGTTAACACTTAACCGATGCTTACCTGAGATAGATGCACGCTTAGTCGACGACACGCCACTGGCTATACGGGAAAAGGTGGAGAGGGTAAAGGTCCGCTGCGGAGGGAACTTCGGGTTTACACAGGAAATGCTCGCAACGACACTGGATGGGCACGACATTTTATTGGGACGTGATTGGCTGCGACGGTATAACCCACGAATTGACTGGACGACGGGTAGCTGCACAGTGCGAAGTAGTGGTAACTGGGTCGTCCTACCTCGCTGGCAGCCACCCGAGTCTTCGACGGTCCAGGTCAACGCCATCACGATGAAACGGGCTGTCGCTGCTGGAGCTGACGTGTACGCAGTGGATATCGCATTAGTGGAAAAAGAGGACCGTCCGAGTGATTTGCATAAACTGTTGGCAGCCATACCACCCGAACTACAGGCACTACTGAAACGGTTCCCGGGTATCTTTCCGGATGACTTACCGCAAGGGCTGCCACCTCAGCGGGCGCATGACCATAGGATCGAGTTAGAACCGGGGGCACAGCCAACTGTACAGCGCCAATTTCGACTGACACAGCCCGAGCTGGACGAGCTAAGGAAGCAGTTAGATTACCTGTTAGAGAAGCAGTTTATCCGACCGAGCTCGTCACCGTTCGCCGCACCGATACTGTTCACACTGAAAAAAGACGGGGGGTTTCGCATGTGCATCGACTACCGAGCGCTTAACAGGGTAACAGTAAAATCACGATACCCCATCCCCCGCGCCGACGAACTGATCGACCAGCTGCGAAGCGCACGAGTATTTTCAAAAATAGACTTACGGGGAGGTTACCATCAAATTCGGGTCGAACCATCGGACTGCGCCAAGACAGCATTTAGGACTAGGTACGGGTCATTCGAGTACACGGTGATGCCTTTCGGGCTGACCAACGCGCCTGCAACATTTCAGATGACCATGCACGAGGCGTTTAGGCCACTTTTAGATAAATACGTCATCGTTTACCTCGACGACATCCTCGTTTACAGTCGGGACCAGCAGCAGCACTTAGTAGATCTCGAAGCAGTTTTTAAAATTTTAGAGGCACATCGGTTACTCACCAAGGGCTCCAAGTGCGAGTTTTTTCGGGACAGGCTAGAGTTTTTAGGTCACGTCATTTCGGAGGCTGGGGTTGAGATAGACCCTAAGAGGCTGGCATCCCCCGACGAACATCACGAAACTGCAGAGATTTTTAAGGGTTTGTTAATTACGTTCGTCGGTTCGTCCCCGACATGGCACGCTTAACAGCCCCGCTCACTGATTCACTGCGTAAGGGGGTTCCTTTTACGTGGGGGGAGAAAGAGCATGCTGCCTTCTCTGCCCTGAAAAATGTTCTCTGTTCACCACCCGTCCTACGCATCGCTGACCCACACCGCCCCTTCGAAGTTGTTACAGACGCGAGTGACATCGCCATCGGAGCCGTACTGTTACAGGACTTCGGCAACGGCCTCCAACCCATCGCCTACGAATCACACAAGCTACATCCACCTGAGTGAAATTACCCGATACACGACCGCGAAATGCTCGCGATCGTGCATGCATTAAAAGTGTGGCGCTGCTACTTGACCGGCGCAGACGTGACAGTACGGACAGACCATCGATCCCTACAGTACCTTCGCGCACAGCCCCACCTCAACCCACGACAGATTCGGTGGCTCGACTTCCTCGAGTCGAATTTCCACTATACGGTCACATATAAAAAAGGAGCCTCGAATATCGCCGACGCACTGACCCGCCCCACTGCCCAAATCCATGCGATACTACTCGCCCAGACCAGCCCGTTACTGACTGGACTATTTACCCACGGATATCAAACATACCCTTTCTTCACAGGAGGAAATTCACAGCAATTCGCAGCAGCCAAGGGGGTCTATTACGTAAAAGCTGGATCCGACCACATCAGGGTACCAGGGTACACACTACTATGGGAACTACTGTTACAGGAGGCACACGACGGAGTTACCTCGGGACATTTTGGAGTAGAAAAAACACGGCAGCAGCTACAGCGGTACTATTACTGGCCGGAAATGTTGACCGACGTGCAACGACACGTGGCATCGTGTCCCACTTGCCAACTCATGAAGTCAACCAGGAAGCGGCCGGCAGCACAATTACAACCAATCCCACCTCCAGAGCGTGCTTGGCAGCAGGTGTCGATGGACTTCGTCACGGGGTTACCGGCCGGGGCGAGTGGGAATGACGTGATCCTGGTCGTCGTCGATCGACTAACAAAAATGGCACATTTTGCAGCATGCAGGAAATCAATCACAGCCGAGGAAACAGCCCGACTCTTCATCGCCACCGTCGTTCGACTGCACGGGATACCAGCGTGAATCATCAGCGACAGGGACACGAAGTTTACCAGTAATTTCTGGCGGAACCTGTGGCAGCAGTTCGGCACGCGACTTCAATTCAGTTCATCGTATCACCCCGAAACCGACGGACAGACAGAACGGACAAACCAGACTATGGAGCAACTCATTCGAGCCACGTGTGACGATCCAAACACGTGGGAGCAGCAGCTGCCTCTCATCGAGTTCGCATACAACAACGCGCCATCTGCCACGACCCAACAGTCGCCATTCTACTTGAATTACGGATAGAACCCAACGGTACCCATGACACCAAACCGCGACAATCCCGTTCCACGCGCACAACAGTTCGCCGAGATTTTGCAAGCAGCACGGACCAGGTGAGCAAAAGCAATTAAAAAATCAAATATCATCGCTAAACGCAACGCCGATCGCCACCGCAGACCCGTCACTTATCAGCCTGACGACCTCGTTTTACTCGACACTCAGAACCTCCGCCTGCCCATCACTCCCAAACTCCGCCCTCGATACTGTGGGCCATTTCGAATCAGTCACATGATCACACCTGTCACCGCGCACCTCCTACTTCCTGCTGACTGGTACGTCAGCCCCTCGTTCCACGTCAGCCTGCTTCGCCCTTACGTACCATCCACCAGCCAACTCCCACGACATCGACCACCCAGCATGTCACGACCACCAACCGAACCAGTCATCACTCCCGACAAAATCTTGAGCCACAGAGTTCGCGACCCTCGAGGGGCCTGAAAAGTTGAGTTTCTGATTCGCTGGAAAGATCGTACACCCACCGAGGACAACTGGGTTCCCCTGGACAGAATTGAAAACCACCCTGTCGTCACCGACTATCTACGCAGCCGAAACTTCAAAGACGTCCACGCGCTTTCGTAAAGAGGACCTTTTTAGGAGGGGGGGGTAGTGTAAGGAAATTCCCTTTTCCTTACTTCGCATCTCTGCTCAACGCGTACATCACTGTAGCACCTCAGTCAGCACCGTTACCACTCACAACCATCGCATCATTCACCATCCCGCCATTTTCGCACATCGCATCCCGACCTCACGGCTCGGCTGGTAACCCGCGCTCCGGGCCTACGCTTCGACACGTTCCCAACCTCAGTCCCAGGCTCGTCGTGCGACCATTACCGTTACCACTGTAGTTTCGCTATATATTCTTCGCTCATACCTTCGCTCATTGTACTCTTGTTTCGATAGTGCAATTCTCGCTCCTCCACTCAATTGCACTCGTAACAAACACTCAATTCTTCTAGGTCACTGTAAGAACTAGATCAGAGTGAAGGAAAACACTCCAAACTTGGAAAAAAATGCTTACTTACACAACTAATCATTTATAAAAAATATGATAATAAAATACTGCAGGAAATTTGTCAGAGGTCCACTGGTGATCCCCGATCGATCCTAGGGAAGGGTTACAGGCACATTTGCCTGGGGGGTTATGGGCGCACTGACCCGCTACTGAAACAAGCCCTTTTATCCCAATGGTCTAGTGGTTGGGATTCTGAGATGGTATCCAGAGCGAAGGTCTCGGGTTCGAATCCCGGTGTATGCACTTCGGGCATCCCAGTGCGGGGGGGTGTCAGAGGTCCACTGGTGATCCCCGATCGATCCTAGGGAAGGGTTACAGGCACATTTGCCTGGGGGGTTATGGGCGCACTGACCCGCTACTGAAACAAGCCCTTTTATCCCAATGGTCTAGTGGTTGGGATTCTGAGAAAATTTTTCTGATACAGTTCACGATCACAGATAACGCAATAGTAATCATCTTCTATGTCATTCATAAGCACAAATTTATGAAGGGTAAAGTGATCACAGAGTACGCAATAACGGGTATTACACATCAGTGCCTCATCCCAATTTCCCCGAGATTCCCCACCTCGAGTTCCTCATCTACGGATACCCTACTAAAAGGATCACTCGTTTTCCACGCTCGATTCGCCTGCGTCGCATGAGACGCGCCTCGCAACATGGCTGGAAAGAATAAGAAAAAAGGCGGGGGAGCCGCCAAGGCTCCTGGAAGCGGGGTGGCCGCAGGCGGTGGCGGAAAAGACTCTGCGGGGAAGTCGGCATCGGGGCGATCGGTGGGGTCGGGGGAAGGGCCGGCCGTGGAGGAGCTATTCACGAAGCTCGAAGGACACATTCGGAAGAGCGAGTTTTCGCGCGTTGTGAAAACAGCTGACGAAAGTACGCTGTTCTTCGTAGCCTGTAGTCTTTCCCGAATGTCATGAGTCATGCATATTGAACGTGATGGCCCTGGTTCCGTTGCGGGCTGTAATCAATTTCTCCCCTTCAGTTAATCTGATTAATCTGTCGTTTTTCTCGTCGCGGTGGATACCGAACCAGATTGCGAGTTCTCGCGGTCTTCTCCTTTCCCGATTCATCAGGGTTTATCGCATTGGGAAGTCGATACTCCCGATCTGTTTCGAACCTGTTTCTTGGGAACTCCTGCGTTGATTTCTCCCAATCCCCTCGATTGTATCGCGGAGATATGTCGGTTTCATGTATCAGTTACCAGTCAGTGATGGTGACCAGAATCAGTCATGGTTGAGAATTTTCAAAAGCGAATCTGTTACAGCGCATTTTCTAAGTGTAGGCCCTCAGCGTCACTAATCGCCTGGGCAAGTATTCCCGGTTGATCTTGATGCTCTACCTTTTCTGTTTCCCCAACCTCTCCTCGTTCTCTCCGCCCACCTCCCCCTCCCTCCTCCTCCACCCCCTCCCCTTTCCTCTCCCTCCCCTCCCTCCCACCGAACTCTCCCCTCCTCTCCCTCCGCCCCTCCCCCCGCCCTCTGTTCCCGCCTCCGCCCCGCGCGCGGCAGTCCTGGCGGCGAGTCCCGGCGATGCGGACGCGCTGCGGTGCAAGGCGGTGGCGCTCATTCAGAACGGCAGCGTCGCCGAGGCGCTCAAGCTGCTGGAGGCGCCCAACGCGCCGCCGGACATGGCGTTCGAGAAGGTGAGGAGCTTGGAGAGGAGAGAATCTGAGGTTTTTTGCAATTTAAGAAGAGTAAGAATACGAGTGGTGTTTGAGAGGGTAAACCGATATGCTTGTATCACTTCTGTATTCCCTTCCTCCCCATGCGCCCCAGGCGCCCTTCCTCCCCATGCGCCCCGTCTGCCCCATGCGCCCATGCGCTTCCTTGTGCCTCGTGCACACACATCCCACACCCTTCCATACCCTCCCTCCCCTCCCCTCCTCCCTTCGTCCCCGTTCCCTAACCCCTTTTTCCGTGCACCGTCCCACCCTCCTTCCCAATCCCCGACTCCTTCTCTCTCCCGTTCCCCATTCCCCTCTCTTCTCTCTCATTCGCCATCCCCACTCTTCCCATCCTCCAATTCTTCCGCTCGTTACGAATCTCCCCTCTCCCTCCCACCTTTCCACTATTACCCCTCCCACCCGCCTCCCCTCCCCCCCTCTCTCCACCCCCCCTCTGTTCTCCCCTTCTCCCCCCCTCTTCCCCTCTTCCCCCCGCCTCTCTCTCCCCCCAACGCCCCCCCCAACAGGCCTACTGCCTGTACCGTCTGAACCGTCTCTCCGAGTCCCTCACGCTCCTCCGCTCGGTTGAGCGAACAGCCGACACGCTCCAGCTGGAAGGCCAAGTCCTCTACCGCCTAGGGGACTCCGCGGCGTGCATCAGCCGCTTCGAAGAGCTGATCAAGCGGCACCGCCTGGACCAATCCCAGCTGGAGGTGAAGACGAATGTTCTCGCGGCGTATGTGATGGGCGGGCGGAGCGGCGAGGTGAAGGGGCTGATGGAGAGCCAGCTGCGGGTGGCGCCGCGAGACGCGTTTGACGTGGCGTATAACGCGGCTTGTGCGCTGATTGAGATGCGGGATTACCGGGCCGCGGAGGAGATGCTGCTGCTCGCGCGCAGGTGAGGGGGATGGGGAGCACGGGTGGGGGGGAAGGGGGGATGGGGGAGGGCGGATGGGGTAGGGCGCGGGGAGAAAAGGGCTGAGCTGATGAGGAGGGCGAGGGGTGGGCTGAGAGGAGGGGGGGGTACTGGGGGTGAATGCGTGCGTGCAGGTATGTACTGGGGGTACTGGGAAGGGGCTCATTGAGAGCCAGCTCAGGGTGACGCCGAGAGACGCGTTTGACGTGGCGTACAATGCGGCGTGCACGCACGCTGATCAAAATGCGGGATTATAGGGCTGCAGAGGAGATGCTGCTGCTCGCGTCAGGTGAGGGCGGCGGGGAGGGCGCTTGGGGAGATGGGAGGAGGGGGGGATGGGAGAGGGGTGGACGAGATGGTGAGTTTGTGAGCACACATTTCTCACACACCCACTTTCACACACTCACTTTCCTACACTCACTCCCCTACATTCGCTCTCCCTCACCTCTTCCCCTTAACTCTCCAACTCTCCTTTCCCTCCTTCTTTACCCTCCCCCTCTCTCCCAGGGTCGGGCAGGAGGTGTTGATAAACGGCGCCCATCACGGTGCACTCCTCCGCACCCGGACCTTTCCTGTCCCCCTCCAACCTCCACCCCGCCCCCCGCCCTCCCCCGCTTCCACCCCGCAACCCACCCCCCCGCCCGTCCCTCTCCTTCCCCCACTTCCCAAACAGGGTGGGGCAGGAAGTCCTGATAGACGAGGAGCTGTCCACCCAAGAAATAGAGGACGAGCTGGCGCCCATCACCGTACAGCTGGCGTACACGCAGCAGATGCTGGGGCGCCGCATGGAGGCCCTCGAGAGCTACCTCGCCTTCCTCAAGCGCAAGCCGGCTGACGCGCCCTCCGCTGCTGTGGCGGTAACGAATCTGCTCGCGCTGAGGAGCGCGAGGGATGTGGTGGATGGGCTGAAGAGGCTCGATCGGGTGGTTGCTGTGACGGAGAAGGGCGGGAAGGAGGGGGAGAAAGGGAAGGGGGAGGGGGTTGAGGTGGTGTTTTTGGAGAATCTGGAGACGAAGCTGTCTCGCAAGCAGAAGGCTGCTGTCATGCTGAATCGGTTCCTGCTGCTCGTTGCTGCTAACCGCCTCGATGAGGTGATGAGGGAGGGAGGGAGGGAGGGAGGGGAGGGAGGGAGGGAGGGTAGGGAGGGAGGGAGGGAGGGAGGGAGGGAGGGAGGGAGGGAGGGAGGGGAGGGAGGGAGGGAGGGGAGGGAGGGAGGGAGGGAGGGAGGGAGGGAGGGAGGGAGGGAGGGAGGGAGGGAAGTGGGGAGGGAGGGAGGGAAGTGGGGAGGGAGGGAGGGATCGTTAACCTGAGTTGTATGTAGTTTGCACCTCTCTGCACCGCTTTGCCCCCCGGGTTCCCCAGGCACATGCGTCCCTACCATGTGTGGACTGATTACTGCCAGGCTGCGATAATTAATTTCCTGCCTCTGCATTTTGAGTGGTCCTAAATTGCTACTCGCTGCGCCACACCGCACCTCATTGCACCTCATCACTAACCCCCCGTCACCAGGCACGAGCGTCCCTACCCTGTGTGGAGCGCCTTTTACCCGACTCTGACGACCCTCTGCCTTGGCACTCTGAGTCGATTCTAAGTATACCCCTCATCGCGCTTTGTTTCCCCTCATTGGCCCCCCACTCACCAGGCACGTGCGTCCCTACCATGTGTGGAGCGCCTTTTACCCGATACTGACGACCCTCTTCCCTTGCACGCAGCACTCCTCATCAAAGAGGGTCGCACTGACGACCTCCCCTCCATCCTCTCCTCCCTCGCCGCCTCCTCCACCTCGTCCGGTTCGGCGCCTGCCGAGCCTGGGACCGAGCCTGGCGTAGCGGCGGGAGGGGAAGCTGGTGGAGGGGCGGGCGCAGGGGTACAGGGGGGAGAAGGGGGTTTCAGTCGTATGCAGTCGGCGCGGCTGCTGTCGGCGCAGGCAGCAGCAATGGCAGGGCGGTGGGCACAGGCAGCAGATGAGCTGGGGCAAGTGGAGGGGATCCAGCACAGGCCGGCTGTTGTGGCAACGCTCATGGACCTCAAGGTGTGTCATTTGGACTGTGATGTGAGGAAAGCTTGGGGGAAGGCTGGGGAATGGGTTGTTGGGGGGGCTGGGGGCAAGCGGAGGGCATTCAGCACAGGCCGGCAGTTATGGCAACGCTCATGGATCTCTCTCTCCTCCCATCTGGTGTGCATGCATGTGCGGTGTGGTGCAGGAGAGGGCAGGGGACGTGGCAGGAGCCAAGGCGGTGGTGGATGCGGCAGTGGAGTGGTGGCAGAACCACATGGATGTCGCCTCTGCCACTGACCTTGTAAGTAGTTTCTTTTCTTAGTTGACTCAAAATCATCTCCGGCTGTTGGCGCGGTTGTAGATACGGCGGTGGACTGGTGGGCAGAACCACATGGACGTTGCTGCCTCTGCCACTGACCTTGTACGTGCCATGTAGTCGGTTTCTTAGGCCCCTCTCTTTTTGAGGCGTCTGTTTTCGAGGTGCTTGAATACAAGGCGGCGGCGGTGGATGCGGTAGTGGAGTGGTGGCAGAACCACATGGACGTTGTTGCCTCTGCCAGGCGGCCATCCGAGAGACGCTGCTGCAATCAGCAGCGGAGTTATGCTTTCTTTCTCACCCCCCCCTTCTCCCCCCTGCTCCCCCCTTCTCCCCCCTTCTCCCCCTGCTTCCGCACCTCCCTCCAGGCCTCTATCCGAGAGGCCCTGCTGAGAGCAGCAGCGGAGTTCAAGGCGCGGCATGGGGCAGCGCAGCAAGCAGCGGATGACTGGCAGGCGCTGAGGAAGCTAGCTGCCAGCCCCACGCTCAAGACACAGGCGCTCGCAGGACTGGTCTCCTGCACGTCCCAAGTGGACCCAGGTATGCCGTTGGTGCGGTGTGGGCGCAGGTGAGGTTCAGAAGAGGGTGCAGGTGATTGCGCATTTGTGGCTGTAGGCTAGTAGGTGATTTCCGGGGCGTCTCAAAGTCGACTGGCAGTCAGGCGCTGAGGAAGCTAGCTGCCAGCCCCACGCTCAAGACACAGGCACTTGCAGGGCTGGTGTCGTGCACCTCCCAAGTGGACCCAGGTATGGTCTTGGCCGGTGGCCTGTAGGTGATTTTGAGGCATCTCAGCAGGCGACCTGCAGGCGCTGAGCTGAAGAAGCTGGCGGGCAGCCCTGCGCTCAAGGCACAGGCGCTCGCAGGGCTGGTCTCCTGCATGTCCCAAGTGGACCCAGGTTTGCCATCAGTGTGGGCGCTTGGCCCATTGTTGAGTTTTGAGGCGGCTAAAAAGTCGGCTGGCAGGCAGGCGCTAAGGAAGCTGGTGGACAGCCCCACACCACACTCCAGGCACAGGCGCTCACAGGGCTGGTATCCTTCACAACCCAAGTGGACCCAGGGGTATGGCATCGGTGATTGTGGCATGTTGTGCAAGGACGGATAAAATCATTGAAGTTGGAGTAGAGTGTTATCAACACCTGGTCCTGACTCTTCTCTCCCCCTCTTTACCTTCCCCCCCACCTCCCCTCCTTTCCTTCCCCCCTTCTCACCTGGTGTTCTCCATCCTTATGCCCATACCACCTCTTCCCACACCTCACAACCCCTGTGCCACACCGCCTGTAACCGCTTAGAAGCTAGCCATGGAGCTCCCACCCATGCCTGGCACATCAGGCCCGGCACATCGGGCCTTGAACACTTTCAAAACTTTCAAAAAGTTATGCGAGTCTCTAAGACCCCTGCCCACCCCTGTGCCACACCGCTTGCAGTAACGGCTGAGAAGCTAGCCATGGAGCTCCCACCCATGCCTGGCACATCAGGCCTGGACGTCTCCTCTCTCCTGCAGCGCCCCGGCCCGTCCACCTTCTCCCACTCGGCTGCTGCCGCTGCTCGTGCAGCCAAGCGCCCTGCTCCTGACGACGAGTCTGCTGCTGCCTCTGCTGCTGCTGCAGCGAGTGAGAGGGCCCGAGCTAAGAAGAAGCGCAAGCGGAAGGTGATTCTGCCGAAAGGGTTTGATCCGGCGAATCCCGGACCTCCCCCGGACCCGGAGCGGTGGTTGCCGAAGCGGGAACGGTCGAGCTTCCGGCCGAAGAAGAAGGATAAGAGGAAGGTGGATGTGCGGGGGGCGCAGGGGGCGGCGGTGGTGAAAGGGGAGAAGACAGAGGGTGGGGGTGTGGTGGGGGGGCTTACTGGTGAAGGTGATGGTGGGAAGGGAGGAAAGGCAAGTGCGGCGGCGGCTGCTGCTGCGGCTGCTGGGAAGGGAGGGGATGGAGGGAAGAAGAAGGGAGGGGGAAGGAAGGGGAGGCGGTGAGAGGTGGGAGAAGAGGGGGAAGAAGGAAGAGGGGGCGGGTGGGGGAGTGTGTGGGAGGTGGGAGAGGGGAGAGCAGGAAGGGCTGGTCTTTTGCTGGCTAACATAAGTACTCAAGAAGGTAAGGTATTTCTGCATGATTTATGGAGGATGGCTGCATGGACTAGCTGACAACCAGATACCGTTTGTTGGCCCAGGTGTTATGAGATGGCCTTGTTACAGGACAGAAAAATGTATGACTCCCTTCAAATGGGGTCATTTTCACAAAGATCCAAGGTTCATTTTTTTGTTGGCTGCTGAAATACGGTACCTATTTTCACCGGGCACCTAATTTTCGTCCCCAGAAGGACACCATCGGACCAAGGAGAGAGCTACACAGTCTCAAAAGTGCGCTTTTGATAAACTTGAGCCGCCTCGGATTGGCTGGTGGTGAGGTGGCGGTGTTGCTTCGGCGGCGCAACCAAAACAGTATTCCTGTCTGCTTTGCCCGCTGCGGGCAACTGCTTCCGCTGCGGACAACTGCCACAAGTGTTCGACCTGCTGCTCACCAACTGCCCTCGGGATCAACCATGCTTGGGAGCGTTTCTTATCGCTCAAACCGCAGTAAATCTCATGTAACCGCGTAGTACCAGTAGTAAACGATCTCACGCGAGTAGCGCACAAGCGGAACTGGTGGTTGGGTTGCGGGGAGCGGAGGTAGGATGTTCCCGAGAAGCCTTTTTCACGCGGTTCAAGCTGGACGGGTGTGTTCGGAGCGTGTTGTTGTAAGTGCTTCTTTCCTTTGCTCAAATCGAAACCCTATTCCAACGTTCTGAATTGCTAACAAACCGCTCTGTCACGCAAAACACCGCATGTCCTGTCACACTGTTTTCCAGGTTTGTTTTGGTCCCCTGAAAAGCTCCTAAATCGCCTACTAGCTGCTAAAGTTTTGGGTCCAGCGCTTGTACCGCTAGTTAAGTGCATGTACCCAAAGCAATGTCCTCACCATTTGTGCCCTAAAATCAGTTCAGACGGATACTACCGAGCTCCTTCAGTTTCTTAGCTCCGGGGTTTCGGGGTTACCTTGTCCTTTTTGTTGAGCTATTGTAGAGCAGAGGAGCCATTTGGTGAATACGTATTCATGGTCAGACATTGCAATCCATAGTTGTCGAAGCAGGCGAGATCCAGTCTCGAACTTCCATAGTGGCCAGGCAGAGACACAGGGAGGGAGGCACGGAGAGAGGAAGGCAGGGAGGCAGGCAGAGAGGCGCGGAGGCAGGCGTGGAAGCTGGGAGGTCTCGAAAATGATTTCTTGCAACAGCTAATCGGGCCTTGCGTAGTCCCACGATACGACGGAGTAGCTACTGAGATTTGCCGATCGTCCATCGGGATTAGATTTGAAAAAGAGTGCCGGCCATTGCGGTCGTATATTTTCGTCGTCTCGTCGCCTCGCTCTCTGATTCCACCGCTCTCGCTGCAGCGCACATATCGTTTGAAGAACATCCCATCCACCGCGTTCGTCAGACGTTTTCAGAGACGTCTTCGACGATTTGCGGCGGTTCTGACGGTTTCCGGCGGTTTCTGACGGTCGCGCGCGGATCCTGTTGGTTACTCGCGGATTCTGACGGTTCTCACGTTTTCCGACAGTTTCTAACGGTTCCCTCCCATCAATGGCCGGCGGTCATCATGACGACGGCTCGACCTACAGCCCCCGCATCGCCTTCATGTAAGCCTTTAGGTCGGTCGGAGTTCCAATCACCTTATCATACTGGCGACTTTTTAAAAATACTGGTGATTTAAGAAACGACTCATTTTCAAAAAACCATATTGGAAACACTTTCGAGAGCTCTGAATGACGATCCCCGGTAAGCTTCGAGCCTGGATGAGGGGGTGCCTTGTTATGAGCTTGGGGGAAAACTGCTTCCGAGAAACTGGGTCGTCTCAGTGTTTTTCCCGTTTCCGTCGCGGATCCGTGCTTGCTAAGTGACTGATCCCTTTCCCATCCCATTTTCCCCTTCCTCCGCCCTTTCCCCCTCGTCCTGCTGCTCTATTCACCGCGCGCACCTGTTTCGCGTCAGTTTAGCGTCTCCGTAGCCCACTCTTCGTCTCCATCACATTAGATTAGCATTCAAGGACCGCATTCAACTCTGCGTCGTCCAGTTTGTGGGTCTGTTTTTGTAACCCTTCCCCCCAGTATTCCCTTCTCATTTGACTGGCCCCCTCCCTTGACCCCCTCCTGTGTCATTTCCGCGTAGATTCGATCTGTACTCGTTCCTCCCTGTGTTTACCCTGCCCCACCGTCCCTCCCGTGTCATTTCCGCCATGCCGTGTTTCCCTCCCTCCCTCGCTCTCTCCCTCCCTCCCTTCGCTGCCTGCCTGCCTGCCGGCCTTCCTGCCTGCCTGCCTGCCTGCCTACCCCTCCGCACCGTCAGCTACGTCTTCAACCTTATCGTGGGCACGGGGGCCCTCGCCCTCCCGTCCGTGCTCACAACAGGAGGATGGGTGCGTGCGCACTGCCCCCTCACTCTACCCTTTCCATTCCCATTTTACTCCTCTGAGCCCCCGAGTTTTTTTGTCTATTTGGAAAAGAGCCGCTTTTTTTCCTGAGCTTCTAACAGGAGGCTGGTTGTATGTTCCCCTGGGTTAGATTTCTCATTCCCATCTTTGTTTGAGTCAATTCGTACTCCAGAAATGTCCCCCCCCCCAATTTCCTCGCGCCGACCCCCATTATCGCCTCTCCTCTCCCTTCTTTATCCAGCTGTGAGTTGACTCAAATGTCCTTCTCAAGTCCTCTGTCCCTGTGACCACCTTTCTTGTCCCCTCTTTCCCTCCTTTTCTCCATCTCTCCCTCCCCCCCTCTTTTCCCTCCCCTTTCTCTTTTCGCTCCCCCCTCCCCACTTCCGCATCCGCGCTCCCCCCAGATTCTTGGAACTCTCTTTCTTCTCCTCGTTGCATTCACCAGGTACGAATCTCCTTTTGCCTTCACACACCACATGCCTCTTTTCAGTAACAATCTCCCCTTCCCCCTTCCCTCACCCTTCCTTCCCCTCACCCTTCCTTCCCCTCTCCTTCCCGCTTTCCCCCCACCCGCCCCTTTCTCGGTCCTCCCTCCGCCCCCTCCCCCCCTTCCCATTCTCCGTCCTACCCTTTCTTTTCCATTCGTTATGCTTCATTGTTTCCTTTCTTTCAACTAGGATTCGTACGCCATTCGTTCAGTATAGCCTCGTTTCAAGCCCCATTGTGCCTTGCCTGAGTCCTGACCATGTATGCATGCACGCAACCATGTTCCCGCCCACCACACCCGCCCAGCCCCCCTTCCCCGTGGCCCTCCCGTGCCCTCTTCGCCCCCCCTGTACACGTACACAACACCCCCCACCCCACCCCACCCCACCCCGCTCCGCCTTCTTTCCCCATCCGTTCCCCCCCGTGCCAGTTTCGTGGGAGTGACGTTCATGATTGAGAGCATGGCTGCGGCAAATGCTCTCAGCACTATACGCCATGCACAGGTGGGTTGTTGTGCGCTTTTGGGTCGACCGTAGATACATACTAAAGAATCGCATTTGCTGTGTGTGTGTGACGCTGTCTGTGCATGTAACCTCCTCCTTAACTCTCTTGGCGTCGACTGATCCTCTCCTCCTCCTGCATCTGTGACGTTCTGCCGTTCATGTGTTTCTCCCTCCTTTTCTCCATTCTGCCATGCTGCCATGCCTCCTTGCCCCCCTGCCGCCCTGCTGCCATGCCATGCTGCCATCGCCATGCCGCCATGCCGCCATGCTGCCATGCTGCCACGTGTGCAGGACGGGCAGTACGTGTCAGACACAGAGCCGTTGATCAGTGATGGTGAAACGGCTGTGATGCTCAATGGCGGATCTGAGAGCGATGGGGGCAATGCACGTGCAGGAGGAGCGGGGGGAGGGGGAGGGGGGAGGGGGAGGGGGAGGGGGAGGGCTAGGGGGAAGCGGAGGGGGCGGAGGAGGGGGCAGCAGCAGCAACGGGGGAGGGCCGTTTGAGATCGTGCAACGAATGGAAATGGCACAGATGGCGGTGAGGGATTGGGTGGAATGGCGGTGAGGGGTTGGGTGGAATGGCGGTGAGGGGTTGGGTGGAATGGCAGAGAGGGGTTGGGTGGAATGGCGGTGAGGGGTTGGGTGGAATGGCGGTGAGGGGCTGGGTGGAATGGCGGTGAGGGGTTGGGTGGAATGGCGGTGAGGGGTTGGGTGGAATGGCGGTGAGGGGTTGGGTGGAAAGGCGGTGAGAGGTTGGGTGGAATGGCGGTGAGGGGTTGGGTGGAATGGAGGTGAGGGGTTGGGTGGAATGGCGGTGAGGGGTTGGGTGGAATGGCGGAGAGGGGTCGGGTGGAATGGCGAAGAGGAGTTGGGTGGAATGGCGGAGAGGGGTTTGGTGGAATGGCGGTGAGGGGCTGGGTGGAATGGCGGTGAAGTGAAGGATTGGGTGGAATGGCGGTGAGGGGCTGGGTGGGTTTGCTGCTTGGGTGAGCCGGCGCATAGGTGGCTGAAGCGGTGGTGGTGGTTGAAGGAGAGAAGGGAAAGGGGAAAGGGGATGCGGCAACGAGCAGAAACGAGCAAGTGGTGATGCTGAGAGTTGGGGGAGGGGGAGGGGTGGGCAGGCAAACAAGAGGGATTCTGGGAGCAAGAGGGAGAGTCGATTTTTGAGTCGACTCAAAAGAGGGAGAATAGGCACAGGGTGTTAGGAATCCCTCTTGGGGAGGATTAGGCTTGGGCGAGGGCGTGGGTTCTAACGTTTTTTTGTCCAGACTCCAGAGTGGAACGGAGTGTGTGTGGAGGGGTTCTTGTCGAGTCGATGGGGCGAGAGTGGATGGAGAGGGAGTGGAATAGACGCTGTGAATGGGTTGACGCATCGCTCTTCTTGTGTCCTTGCCCTTTCTCCTTTGCACATCCCTCCCCTTTGCTTCCGAGCCCTTGCCTTGCCATTCCCCGATGCCACATCTCTTCCACCCACCCACCGTACGCACCCACCCACTCGTCCTCTGCCTCCTCTTCGCCCATACCTTTTAAGGTGCCTCAAGCACCGTACGCCCACTCCGTACGCTCCCACTCCCACTCCTCCTCTTCATCCCTCCCTGCTAACTCCTCCCTTTCCATTCCTTTCGCCCAGCCTCTCTCTCCCCTTTTTCCTGCCCCTCCCTCCCTCTCCTGCCCCTTGCCACCCCTCTCTACCCATCCCTGCCCATCTTCACCTCTCCATGCCCATCTCTTTATCCCTCCATGCTCCTCTGTACCACGCTCTGCCCCTCTGTACCTCTATCTGCCCCTCCCTGCCCCTTGCAGGACATGTTTTTCAGTGACTGGGGGCGAATATTCTTCTACATTGCCCTCATTGTGAGTCGCTCCTCCTTTCCCTTTCCCCTCTGTTTCATATCCGCCAGTAGTTGGCCCTTTTTTCCTATGCATTGCAACCAACTCACTTTTGTTTCGTCACCGCTACTCATTCATTCAACAGTTCATCACTCTATATCTCACGTACTCCCCTTCTTCTCGTTCTCCACCCACCCCCCAATCCAACTTCAATTCTCCCTCTTTCCCCCTAACCTCTCTCTTTACTTTCCTTTAATTCCCCCACACCAGCTGTACCTATTTGGAGATGCAGCCGTTGGAGTCTACTTAGAAGCTTCTTCTCTGTCACTCTCTCCATCTATCTCTCTCAATCTATCTCGCTCCCTATCTCTCTCCTCCCTATCTCTCTCCCTATTTCTCTCCATCTATCTATCTCCATCTGTCCCTCTCCATCTGTCCCTCTCCATCTGTCTCTCTCCATCTGGCTCTCTCCCGTTCCCTCCACAACAGCTGTACCTGTTTGGAGACGCGGCCATCTACTGCACCTTTGTGCCGCGCTCCCTCGTGGCCTTCTTCTTTCCAGAGAACCCCCCGCCCTGGGCCTTTGACGCCTTCCTCGTGCTCTTTGTCGCTGTCATCGTCCCCTTCTGGTGCGTGCTGCTGCCGCTGTTGCTGCCGCTGTTGCTGCTGCTCCATACTCCACTGCTGCCTGCCTGCCTGCCTTCCCACCTGCCTGCCATCCTGACTCCCTCCCTCCTCCCCTCCCCCCCCCCCCCCTGCTCCCTTGCTTCCTGCCTCCCACCCTCCCTATTGTCCTGCCCATCCTCCTCACACACCCGTCACAGCACTTTCAGTTGGCACTGTCGCTTTCTTTTGCTCTCACTCCCCTTTTCCCCCCTTACTCTCATCTCACGCCCTCCTCCCCCGTGTTGCTCTATCCTCCCTCGCCTCTTTTCCAACTGCCTCTGCTGCTTTGTGCCTCCCCTTGCCCATCCGCCTTTTCCCCCACCCCTTTCCCCTCAGCTTTTTTTACTTCCAAAATACGTGTTTTGAGTCGACTCAAAACTTATCCCCTTTTCCCCCCCACCCTTCTCCCCCCAGCTTCTTTGACTTCCAAAAGACCAAGCCCCTGCAAATCGTCACCATGGTATGCGATGCCATGCGATGTGGTGTGGTGTGGTGTGGGGTGGGGTGGGTGGGGTGTGCTTGGCGGTGGGATGTGATGTGTGACATCATGTCACGTGGAATTCATGGGATTTGGAGGGCGAGAGGGTGATCAGGGGGGGAAGTGGGCACAGGAGGAAATCTAATGGCAACGAGTTTAGGAAGATTCATGTCCATTTGGTTCTCAGCATTCGTTTATCGATGCTTGTCATGTCACCTCCACCCCACTCCGGTCCACCCCACTCCACTCCACTCCACTCTTCTCCACTCCACTTCAAAACACTCCTAACTGTCTCTTCTCCCTCCCTCTACGTCCTCCTCTTTACCTACTACACCCATCCCCACCTATTTGTACGCCCATTGCTGCATAACCAGGTCATTCGAAACGCTGCCATTACAACGTAAGCATAGACACCTGAAACACCGCCCCACACAACCCCCTTCCTGCGCTCCTAGTTGCTCCTTTCCCCTTCACCCCCCTCTCTCGGCCCTCCCCAGTCTCTGCCCTCTTTTCTCATCCTTTCTGCGCACTCTTCGTTTTCCCTTTTCCTCTTCCCTCCAACGCTCTCTCTTCCCTCCCTCTTCAAACCGCGCACACGCCTATGTTCGCCTCTTCATCCCCCATGCCCCGCACTCCCCTCACGCCCGGTGTGCTTGCCCATCACCCCATGCTGACTTTTGAGTCGACTCAAAAGCCGGTGTGCTCGCCCATCACCCCATGCCTCGCGCCTTTATCCCATGTCTCACCTCAGACCATGATACCACTCTTTACCTGTCAGTCACCCTGTGCCTGTATCATACAGGCTGTATGTCTAACCCTTGCAGCATGAATGTGATTACTCTGCATGCATGGGCGGCATGTTTCTGTTCATGCGCCCCGAAACTCACACACTCACCTGTTGCCCTGTGCCTGCACCTCTTCCCCACGCAGCATGATTGTGATTGCTGCATGGGTGGCATACTCCGAAGGCCCTCGCACCACTGGAGTGCCTAATTTCAGAGTCACGTAAGCACCCTTGCTGCCTTGCTGCCTCTCTGCCTCTCTGCCACCTTTCATTGCTGCCTTGCTGCCTCGCTGCTATCTTTCCTTCCTCCTCCCGTCTGAAGTTTCCAGTTCCTCTAAGCTGTGGTCTGGTTTCTGTAAATTTCCCTGGCTGGTCCATTCAACTCTAATGGCCCTCGAGGTGCCCCTCCTAAACTCGTCCTTCCTGTCCCAAGCACCCGCCCTGCCTGCCTCCTAGCGCTTGCTTCTCCTCTCTGTCGACCACTCAGTCTATTGCTGCCTTTCCGTTGCTACTCCTACTCCATCTGCTCCCCTATCTCCTCCCTCCTCCTTCCCTCTCCGTCCCTCTCTCTGATCCGCCTACCCTTATGTTTTTTTAGAATTCTCAAAGAAGATACGCCGTCTCCTCCCTCCTCCTTCCCTCCTTCCCTCTCCGCCCCTCTCTCTGCTCTGCCTACCCTTCCTTTTTACTCGCTGCTGTCGCGGCCTTGCCGAACCCATTTTGTCTGCCGAACCTCTTTCTGCCCGCCCTCCCCTGTTCGTCTGCAGTGCCCTGCCGAACCTCTTTGGTGGCGCCGTTTATGCATTCATGTGCCATCACAGGTGAGTGGCATCACAGGTGAGTGGCATCACAGGTGAGTGGCATCACAGGTGAGTGGCATCACAGGTGAGTGGCATCACAGGTCAGTGCCATGACAGGTCAGTGCCATGACAGGTCAGTGCCATGACAGGTCAGTGCCATGACAGGTCAGTGCCATGACAGGTCAGTGCCATGACAGGTCAGTGCCATGACAGGTCAGTGCCATGACAGGTCAGTGCCATGACAGGTCAGTGCCATGACAGGTCAGTGCCATGACAGGTCAACTAAAAAGTCCTCTCCTTCAGTTTTACATGTGTAACTTCCACAAAAATAATCCAAGAGAGGCCTATCCCAATGTCTGCTCTCATCTCCCCACCCCTCTCCCCCAGTCTCCCCGGCATCATCACGCCCATGAGGGAAGTCCTTCATCCGTGTGGTGCTTGTGTCCCCCCCTGTCCCCGCTTCCCCCTCCCTCTCTCCATGTACACTTCCTGCCCCTACAACACTCCCGAAACCCCCATCATCCCCCCCAGTCTCCCCGGCACCATCACGCCCATGAGGGAGAAATTCTTCATCCGCGTGGTTCTCCTCTTTCCCCCTCTCCATCTTCCCCTCCACTCCACCCAACGCGCTCCCTTTCCCCAACATTGTTCCTCCCCCAACCCCTCTCCCCCAGTCTCCCCGGCATCATCACGCCCATGAGGGAGAAGTCCTTCATCCGTGTGGTGCTCGTGTCCCCCCCTGTGTCCCGCTTCCCCCTCCCTCTCCCCATATGCACTCCCCGCCACGCTCACCGTTTAACCCCCATCCCCCCCCCCCGCCCCCAGTCTCCCCGGCATCATCACGCCCATGAGGGAGAAGTCCTTCATTCGTGTGGTGCTCCTCTCGGCCTTCCTGGGCGTCTTCCTGCTCTACCTGCTGCTCTTCCTCTCCTGCGGCATTGCCTTTGGTGCGTGGGAAGGGGCTTGGAAGCATGTGAGGGGGTGGATGGAAGCATGTGAGGGGCTGGTAGCGTGCAGGCACATGCGAGTATGCCCTTCCTGGGCGTCTTCCCGCTCTACCTTCTGCTCTTCCTCTCCCGCGGCATTGCTTTCGGTAAGAGAGTCGTCTCAAAGCTCGGAGTGCCACGAACCAACCATGGATGAGAGCATGCGTGCTTCTGCGGTTGTGCAAGTATGCCGCCTTTTGAGCACGTGCGTCTATCTACCCATTGCAACGCTTTGTACTTTTCCTCTGCCTGTGGGTGTGGTTGTTGGTGTTTGTTGCTCGCTCCTGCCGTGTGAGTGTGTGCGCGCTCAAGTGGTGCGTGTGTGTGATGTGTGATGCCCCGTGTGCGCATGTGTGTGTGGCTGACTGGCATGTGTGTGTGGCTGACTGGCATGTGTGTGCTGTGCTGTGCTGCACTGCAGGCATGGGAGCAGAGGGTCCTATCACCTTCAACTTCTTTTGAGGCGCCTCAAAAGTCGTCTCATTACCCGCAATTTTTATACCCATCGGATTTTTGCAGGCGTGGGAGCAGAGGACCCGATCACCTTCAACTTCTCTCCAGCCAAGTTTGGCTGGATCGGGGACCTCCTCTTTCTCTTCCCAGGTGCTGTTATTAGTAAACAGGTGGGATGCGGAGGTCTGATGTCCATCAACTTGTATGCTAGATCGTATTTTAGTAAGCCAAGTTTGGCTGGATCGGGGACCTCCTCTTTCTCTTCCCAGGTCCGTACCTCTTTCTTTCCCAAGTCCGTGCATCTTCCAAATTCCGTACCGCTTCGTAGGTCCATGCTTGCTGCATACATACATACACGGGGATGACATGCTTTTTTCTTGTGAAACCTGCAGACTTGTTTCCTTCTGAACGACCACCCATGTCCTTTCTTGCCCCAGCTACAACGCATCTCTTCCCCATCTTTCTCTCAACGCTCCCCCCTATTTCTTTCCCCCATATTTCCCCCGTATGTTCCCCATCTCTCCCCCATGCGCCCTCCAGTGGTAACCCTATCCTCCAACTACCCCATGCTCACCATCACTCTGCGCAACAACCTCGACACGCTGCTCACGCTGCTCTTCCCCAAGGGCTCTCCACTCTTCCCCGCCGCCCCCGCCTTCTCCCCCCGCCTTCCCCCGCGCCCCTCGCGCTTCTCTGACTCCCCTGGGGGGGGCACGGGGGGAGCGGAGAGGGGGGTGCGAGTGTCGGCGAAAGATAAGAAGGCGGTGGCGTGGCGGAGAGTGATGGTGACGCTGCTGGCCACGGTGCCTCCCATCGCATGCTGTGTGATTGCAGAGGTACGAGGGGGGGAGGTGGGGGAGAGGGGTGCCGGTACTGGGGAAGGATAAGAAGGCGGTGGTGTGGCGGAGAGTGATGGTGACGCTGCTGGCTACAGTGCCCCCCATTGCATGCTGTGTGATTGCCGAGGTACGAGGGGGAGAAGGGGGAGGGTTGCAGTGGGGTTCTGGTTGGGGAGCATTGGTTGGGGTCGTGGCGTGGGGAGGGAGGCTGGGATGGGTTGCTGATGAGGCGATGGGATGCCAGGATGGGATGGGGAGTGGAGACGGGAAGGATAAGAAGGTGGTTGTGTGGAGGAGAGTGATGGTGACGCTGCTGGCGACTGTGCCTCCCATTGCATGCTGTGTGATTGCAGAGGTACGAGGGGGGCCGTGATGGTTTTTTTGGTGGTCTGGGATGTTGCCATTGCACTCTTTATCGCCTTCCATCCATCCGTTGCCCTCCTCGCCCCTCCCCTCCTATTCCTTATCTCGCCTCCCTCTCCCTCATGCGCGAACACGTCACTCATTCGTTGTCTCTCCTCTGTTCTTCTGCTTCCAACCTTTCTCGCCTCTCTGCCACCCCATTTTCACACAAGCACAGATGCACATGCACAGGTCACTCAACACATCTGCCAGCTCGATCCCCTCTCTCTCCCCCTTGTACCCATTCCCGTTCCAAAATTTTCCCCTCCCCTGATGTTCCCTCTCCCTCTCTTTCCCCACCCTCTCCCTCTCTTCCACCACCCTCTTCCCCCCGTTTCCCCCCCTCTCCTCCATGCTGGCAGCACAATGGGGTAAACGTGAACTCGCTGGTTGGAGCAACAGGGGCATATGCAGGAGCAGCAGTCATGTTCATCATTCCTGCATGCCTGGTGTACCGATCGCGATGGTCAGTAAATCTTGTTTGGGTGGGTCACTTGTAGTGTGGCATATGCAGTGTATCTTACTGTGTGTCAGGTGTCTAATGTGTTGCCTGTGTGTCATGACATGGTGTGTTCTTCTCATGTCGGTTCTCTCTTAGGTTGGGATTGGGCTGGATGGTCGAATTGACAGTGGGGATTGGCTGACAGGTTGGAACACCCTGTTACATTTTTTTAAATCTTTCTTATCTGAAAACGGAATCCCCTGTCCCACCATCCCCCCCCCCCCCCCCCCCCCCCCCCCCCTCCCCTCTGCAACCCTCCCCTTGTGTTCACCTGTACGCCTTCCTTTATCACAGGATTCTGAATCAGGAACTGCCGCAGGATTTGGACGACTCTGCCCGTCGCAACGAGCCACACCCACTCAATCAGCATGCATCACCTTTCCGCAGCCCATTATGGGTCTCTTCGTTAGTGATTCTTGCTATTCTCGTCATTGCATTCATCTCTATTGATGAAATCTTGTACTGAACTGTGTGCTGGCCTTGCTGCTTGGCAACTGAAGCTGTTGGCTACATTGCTCTATGGTTATCTGTCGAATTTCTTTTTTCGGTTACTTGCAACTTCTTGGTGAGTGCTGAAGGCACCAAAGGTGCAATGTAAAGCCTGTTCAGTATCCTTAATGCTACCAGCATTTTTCTCTGCTTCAGACATTGTTGGAAAGAAAGTGGGTTGAGTCTAACTGTATGTATGATGCGGATAATGCCTGCTCCCCTATTCCGAACTCTGGAGCTGCTGATTTTTCTTACCATGTGCTTGAGAAATCCATAAATTCCACCCGCTTTTGGCATCCGAAACATATACTAGCCTCCTAAGGTGGTGGAACGAGAAGGTGGGCCAGGCAATTGAGCCTTTAGTGGGGTATTCGCGTCCTTTTATACTGCCCGTTGTTACATTTTTCATTTTTTTCGTCCGGACGGCCAACCGTGCAATTGTACAGTGTAGATGTTCTCCTCGAGAAGCTGGTAGCGCATGACATTATCCAGTCTTGCGGCTTTTCCTCCCACCATTCTCTATTCAACGCCTTGCCACGTAATCCCACGTCAGCTCCACTGGCTTTGCCACGCATACCCACCCTTGCCACGGCGGAGATCCTCGGCAGCGCAACTCCCCACCTGCGCCTTCATTCTCCATGACCGCACGGTTGCGGTTCCTGCATGTGCAGTTTGCCTCGTGCTGCGCGCAGTCAGTGCACTTTGCGGCAGGCCTGACAAGGTCTTGGGCGATGTGCGCGCGCGAAGTTGAAAATGATTTTCGTCAGGCACTGTCGGAAACAAAAATCTTGGACCTGCCAGAACCACGCAATTGAGTCCAAAAATCTTTGTGCGATGCACTTTTCTATGCGCCATTTCAAAATCTTTCGTGCCCTTGGGAACTACTAAAACTCCTCTCTCCTCGAGAAATGCTCGCAACCTAATCGTACCAATATTCCCACCCGTCATACGTGATTCATATTTCAATCTAAATCGAATCACCATCTCCTCGGTCAGTTCTTTCTGCTGGTCAACCTGCCCAGCTCTTATCTGTTTTGACCTCCTGATCTCAAATCTCTCCCTCAGCTGTCTACTGTTTACGAATTCTGCCCTCACCTGCTTCACTAACTTCCTCCCTTCGCCCTTCCATTCCACCCACGCCTTCCCTTTCCCCAGCACGTCTCCCCCCCATTCACCACCTCATTGGCCCCTCTCCTTCACTCACGCCGTCCTTCACTCCCTCGCCCTTTCCCCCCACCCACCCTCCCCAGTTTCCTCCAGTCAACCAATCCTCCTCCGCCCCTTGCCCTACTTCACACCACCTGAAATTCTTTGCCTCGTCACCACATTGCAGTCCAGTCCAGGGTCTTTTCCTCAGCGCGCGTGGCGTGGTGTGCCGTGGCGGTTTTGGGCGTTGAATGCGGCAATTAACTACAACACTTGCATTAGCTCATTCTACCATACCTTCGCTAATCACGGAGGATACCAACCGCCGCAGTCCGCGAGCGTGCATACTTGTGGCTCTCGCGCTGGTCGCAGCTTCTCAGCACTGCGAGTGCCCAGGTTATAAAAACCCTTTCCTTCAGCATCCTTCTAAAGGCGTTTAGACTTCGAAAGCGCCGTGCCTCCCGCCTGGGACCGCATTTCCTCACTGAAGACGCCTAAATCCTGCTGTTCCTCCTCATTCCAGCTAGAAGCCTAATTAATTACACGGTTCGTAGCTATCATCTATCCTCACTCTCGTCAACCCGCAATAGCATCGTCGTGTCGCTGCGATTTTGAGGAGAAAATCCGCCTGTCATTTACGCGTGAATTCCTTTTCCTCGTGCCCACACACTCCTACTCCTCCTCATCACCATTCTTTCTCCCCCTCGCCTCCTCTCCGCCTCTTCTTCCGCCGCACCGCCCTGTCCGCGCATTACACATTCCGCGGCCCGCCTCGCCTTTCCCGCATCACCCTTCGCGTTGTCGCTTCACGTCAAAGCCCGCATTAGGGGCTGAGCCGGCATCTCACCATGCAGCAGGTCTCCCCCGTGCTTCACGGCGTGTGGCCCGGCGCGCAAATGCCGGTCGGCCCACAGCTGCTGCAGCAGCAGCAGCAGCAGCAGCCGTCGCTTTCTCTGCTGCAGCAGAGCGCCCCGGCCGCGCCGGCCCCCGCCGGCGGCGCTGGTGCCGGCACCGGCGGCGGCGGCGGGGGGCAAGAGGAGGTTAAGACCCTGTGGGTGGGCGATTTGCAGTATTGGATGGACGAGAATTACCTCTGGAACTGCTTCGCGCACACAGGCGAGGTGAGCGCGCAAGAGCGAGTTGGGCGCGCAAGTGCGGGGTGGGCGCGCACGGGTGGGGTGGGCGCCCACGGGCGGGGTGAGCGCAAGAGGGGGGTGGGCGAGCACGGGCGAGGTGAGCGCGCACGGGTGGGGTGGGTGCGCACGGGTGGGGTGAGCGCGCACGGGTGGGGTGAGCGCGCACGGGGGAGGTGAGCGCGCACGCGCGGGTTGAGCGCGCAAGAAGGAAATGAGCGCGCATGGACCGGGTGGGCGCGCACGGGCGGGGTGATCAGAGGCGGGAGGCGGGAATAGCGCGTAGGCGGCAAGAGGGCACGGTCGGGCGCGGTGGGGTGATTGGCGGGTGGAGGGGAACGAGAAGCTGCAAGCACGCGAGGCGGGAGAGAGAGTGAGTTGCGGGGCGAGAAAAGTGGCGGAATGTCAGGCAGTATCGGGGGTGCGGGGAGGAGAGCGGGGAGGGGTGCGGGGAGTTTTCAGGGGAGAGACCCCGCACAGCTCCCCCGCAAATGTCATCAAGGCGTGCGGGGAGAGCTGCGCGCTTGTTCACTGGGAGCGAGGGACTCGCGCACAGGGGACGGTTTCTGCGGCGCGGTTACTCTGGCGATTGAAGGACGGGTTTGTGTAGGCGGCGCGCGCACTCCACGCGAATTGCATGCTGCTGCGCTGTCAGGCGCGAGAGTCTCGTTCCCTCCTTCCGTTCGATTGTTTTCTCGTTTGCTTTTTTACAGTTCCGTTGCATGCTGGGATTGCGCATGTACCCATTGCAAGCGTCACTGTTAAACGTCTCTCTCCCGACTTTTGAGACGTTTAAAAAAATTACTGCCCCGACTCCCTTGAGTGCTCGGTTAGAAGGCGTCGCGCCCTCAGTGCCACCAATGCCTCCGCGTCTCCCTCCTCCTCCTTCTCCGCCTCCCTCCTCCTCCTTCTCTCCGCCCCCCGCCCCTCCCCCCTTCCCCTTTCGCCCCCCGCGCCCCTACTCCCTCCCCCGTACAACCCTCCCTACCAGGTCCAGTCAGTGAATATATTCCGCAACAACAAGGCGACGGGGTACAGCGAGGGGTACAGCGAGGGGTACAGCGAGGGGTACAGCGAGGGGTACAGCGAGGGGTACAGCGAGGGGTACAGCGAGGGGTACAGCGAGGGGTACAGCGAGGGGTACAGCAACCATGGAGCCCTGTGGTTGTCATCTAACTTGCCTGCTTCCCTCTCCCTCCCCCTCCCCTTCCACCCCCGCAGGTGCAATCAGTGAAGATCATCCGCAACAAGGCGACGGGGTACAGCGAGGGGTACGGGTTTGTGGAGCTGTCGTCGCATGCGGTGGCGGGGAGTGTGCTGGGCATGTATGCGGGCACCGCCATGCCTCAGACCGACCAGCAGCCCTTCCGACTCAACTGGGCGAGCTTTGGCATGAATGACCGCCGGTGAGGGGGAGAGGGGTGTGGAGAAGGGGGAGGGGGGAGGGGGGAGGGGGGGGGGGGGAAGAAGGGAGGGAGAGGGGGGTTTGGGGAGAATGGGAGGGGAGATATGCATGGGTGAATGGTGGTGAGACGGAAATGGAGGGGAGCGGGAAGGGAGATGTGCAGTAAGAGGGGGAGGACTGGCTGATGCGAGATGAACAACTGTCGGTGACTGACGCATGAATGAATGACCGACTACACTAAAATCACTTTTGAGAATGATCCCCCACCGCCACAAGCGAGGGGGATGATTTCTGGGCGAGCCCCGTTGCTCCTGTTCCCGCACTCTCCCGTCCCTCCACCCTCTCACTTTCTCCCCTCCCTTTTGTCCGCAACCACCCGCAACAGGCAATCGGACGGGCCAGAGCACAGTGTGTTTGTGGGCGATCTAGCAGCGGACGTCACGGACCTGCTGCTCACTGAAACCTTCCGCGCGCGATACCCCTCCGTGCGAGGCGCCAAGGTGAGATGAGAGGCAGCGAGGGGCCATGGTGAGATGAGAGGCAGCGAGGGGCCATGGTGAGATGAGAGGCAGCGAGGGGCCATGGTGTGCTGCTCCATGTAGCAGCGGACGTCACAGACCTGCTGCTCTTCTGCTCACAGAGACCTTCCGCGCACGATACCCCTCCGTGCGAGGCGCCAAGGTGAGACGAGAGGCTTGCGGTGGTAGTGAACACGAGTGCGGTTTCATCTATTCTTTCTGTGATTTCCAAGAAAAGAGCAGTTGAAAAGTAACCAAGTAACCAGTTTCGGCATCAGTGCTGCCCAGCACCAAGGTGAGAAGAGGCGCCAAGGTTGAGGCCTGTAGTGATGAAGGCTCGCAAGTATCGAAACTAGTTCTCTTACATGAGTTCTGATTCTTTTCTGAAAGAATTGTTTTGTTCAAGCTGGCTCTTTGAAACGACATTCCACCACGTCTGTCCCTCAAGGGTTCAGAAGAGAATACTCCGAACCAGGCTTGCCGGCGCGAAAGTTCTGGTTGGCAGAAATTCAGAATATCGTGCTGACACTTCTCTTTCGCAGTAGCATTTCCGCCAGGATTCAAAGTTTCGGGTGTCAAATGGGGACTGTCGTTTTAACAAACAGCCAAGCTCTCAAACCTAACCCAAGCTCCCTTCACTCACCCAACCCATGGGGTTTGTCTCGTTGTTCTGAAACACACGAGTTGATGGAAGTAAGTAAGACCTCCACAGCCCACCTGTCCGCTAATGGCAAGGCCGTTACCAAGGTGGTGTGCTGTAGAGATCAATGTTGAGAATTCTCACACATGTGATTCCACCAAGGTGGGATGAGGCGCCAAGGTGTGCTGTAAATTCCGGCCTGACCCTTGGTCTTGTCGCAGACCTCTCCCCTCCCCCCACTGGCTCCCCCTCCGCTCTCCCGCTTTTCTCTTTCCCATGTTTCCCCTCTCTCTCTCTACTCCTCCTTTTCTCTTTCCCATATTTCCCCTCTCTCACTCTACTCCCTCTTCTCTCTTTCCCATATTTCCCCTCTCTCTCTCTACTCCCTCTTTTCTCTTTCCCATATTTCCCCTCTCTCTCTCTACTCCCTCTTCTCTCTTTCCCATATTTCCCCTCTCTCTCTCTACTCCCTCTTCTCTCTTTCCCATATTTCCCCTCTCTCTCTCTACTCCCTCTTTTCTCTTTCCCATATTTCCCCTCTCTCTCTCTACTCCCTCTTCTCTCTTTCCCATATTTCCCCTCTCTCTCTCTACTCCCTCTTTTCTCTTTCCCATATTTCCCCTCTCTCTCTCTCCTCCCTCTTTTCTCTTCCCATATTTCCCCTCTCTCTCTTCTCCCCCTTCTCTCCCAGGTCGTAATGGACAACACCACAGGGCGCAGCAAGGGGTACGGTTTTGTGCGGTTCGCAGCGGTGGAGGAGAGGGACCGTGCCCTGGGGGAGATGAGTGGGCAGTACTGCTCCTCGCGCCCCATGCGCATCTCCATCGCCACGCCCAAGAAGGCCGCGGCCTCCTCCTCTTCTGCCTCCTCTGCTGCTGCTGGCTCGTCTCCTGCTACGGCTGGTGAGATGGGGCCTGGAGAGAGGGGTCTGGCGGGGATGGTGTGGGTTCTGGTTGGTTGTGGAATGGCTTTGTGCATGGGGCCGGTCTGGTACTGCTGCATGTGCTTTGCGTGCCTGCTACATCGGTGCGTGGAGAGGAGAGAAGAGGAGAGGAGAGGGACCGTGCATTGGGGGAGATGAGTGGGCAGTGCTGCTCCTCGCGCCCCATGCGCAGCTCCATCGCCACACCCAAGAAGGCTGCTGCCTCCTCCTCTGCGTCTTCCTCTGCTGCTGCTGGCTCCTCGCCTGCTATGGCTGGTGAGATGGGGCTTCGGCTGGTGAGGTGGGACCTGGTGGGGGGGCTGTGGTAGGGCTGGTTGGTGCTGCTCCTCGCGCCCCATGTGCATCTCCATCGCCACTCCCAAGAAGTCCGCTGCCAATTCCTCCGCCTCCTCCTCCACTGTTCAATGCCTCTATCCTCACTCTCCCCTCCCCCACTTTAATCCCCCTTTACCAACTCTCCACACCCTTTTCGCCACTTCCGTCTCCACTTTCATACTCCCTTCATCCCTTTCCCTGCTCTCCCACCTCCCCGGTTCCCCTTTCTCCCTTTCCGAGCACCTTTGCCCGGTGAGTGAACCAAACCATAAGGGGTTGAGGCGCCTCACAAGTCCTCTTTGTCCCCTTTGCTCCCTTTAAACCGAACCATCAGGGCTGCTGTCGCGAGTGCCAGTGGGAGTGACACCACAGCAGGCGCAGTTGCCTTACCAGCAGCACCACCACCACCAGCAGCACCATCAGCAGCAACAGCAACAGCAGCAGCAGCAGCAGCAGCAGCAGGGCGGGGGGCACGGGCACGGGCATGGGGGGGTAGACGATCCTTCCAACACCACGGTAAGATATGGGGGAGGGCGGCACGGGTATGGGGGGGTAGACGAGACGATCCTTCTAACACCACGGTAACAAGAATCTCCTCCTGAAATCCTTCCTGAAAATAATCTCTGACCCACTTTACAGAAATTGGCACTCACAATTTGTTTTCTCTTCTCCTACTCAACCTTTCTCTACCCCTGATCTGATCCCCCGTATCAGTCTCATCCCCCACCCGGTTCAATCACCCCCTTCCTGTGTCTCTTCGACTCTTACGCACTTCCAGTCCCTTCTCCTGCCAACTCCCTTCCTACCAGTGCCCCTTAGGTGCTTGTGGTGTGAGTGGGCTAGACGGGAGTGTGAAAAGAAAAGTAATCTGATAGCATCCTCCTTGAATCGAATCGACTCTTGTTGTTGCATCGGCTCTTCCACAACCAGTTTTGAGGCGTCTCAGAACCTTGAATCGACTCGACTTTTGTTGTTGAATCGGCTCTTGTTGAATCGACTCTTGTTGAATCGGCTCTTCCACAACCATCAACTGGTTGACTCTTTCCCACACCCCACTTCCACTTCTCCTGCCAACTCCCCTCCTGCCAACGCCCCACAGGTGTTTGTGGGGGGGTTGGACGCGAGTGTGACGGAGGAGCAGCTGAGGAGCGTATTTGGAGCCTTTGGGGAGCTGGTATACGTGAAGATACCCTTTGGCAAGGGCTGTGGCTTTGTGCAGTTCCGGCAAAGGTACTGAGAGCGGTGGAGAGCGGTGAGGAGGTTGTTGGGTGGGTGGCTGTGGGTTACTGAATGGTGGTGCGGAGTGGAGAGTGGTAATGTTCGGCAGGTTCGAGAGGTTTCTGTGAGGATTCTCAGCAAGGGTGAAGAGATCGAGAGGGAGACAGCAGTGCTGGTCTGGCCTGGGGCATGTATTATGTATTGAGTCAAGTCGTGTTTTGAGAATGATCGGCCAGCAAGCGAGCAGGTCTCAACCAACCTCTCTTCCTCTCCCGCCCGTCCCCTCCCTCCCCACTCCACCTTGTCGCCCCCCTCTCATGCACCCACCAGAGCACACGCAGAGGAGGCCATTCGCAGGCCAGCAGGCCAGCAAACGAGCAGGCCTCAACCAACCACTCTTCCTCTCCCTCCCTCCCCTCATGCACCCCTCCCACCAGAGCACACGCAGAGGAGGCCATTCGCAGGCCAGCAGGCCAGCAAACGAGCAGGCCTCAACCAACCACTCTTCCTCTCCCTCCCTCCCCTCATGCACCCCTCCCACCAGAACACACGCAGAGGAGGCCATTCGCAGGCCAGCAGGCCAGCAAACGAGCAGGCCTCAACCAACCACTCTTCCTCTCCCTCCCTCCCCTCATGCACCCCTCCCACCAGAACACACGCAGAGGAGGCCATTCGCAGGCCAGCAGGCCAGCAAACGAGCAGGCCTCAACCAACCACTCTTCCTCTCCCTCCCTCCCCTCATGCACCCCTCCCACCAGAGCACACGCAGAGGAGGCCATTCGCAGGCCAGCAGGCCAGCAAACGAGCAGGCCTCAACCAACCACTCTTCCTCTCCCTCCCTCCCCTCATGCACCCCTCCCACCAGAACACATGCAGAGGAGGCCATTCGCAGCGTGCACGGCACCATGATCGGCCAGCAGGCAGTGCGGCTGTCTTGGGGGAGGAACCCCACCGGCAAGGTGAGGAGGGTGCACACAACACAACACAAACGTGAGGGCTGCTCTTGAGGCGCCTCAAAGGCCAGCAGGCAGTGCGGCTGTCCTGGGGGAGGGAGGAACCCCAGCGGCAAGGTGAGAGAGCACACGAGCGTTAGGAATCCCCGTGGGGGAGGGAATTCTAATGGCATGGCAAGGTGAGGAGTTCTGAGGCGTCTCAAAGGCCAGCAGGCATTGCGGCTGTCTTGGGGGAGGAACCCCACTGGCAAGGTGAGGAGGGTGCACACAACACAACACAGCAAACGTGAGGGCCAGCCAGCCGCACTGCCTGCTGGCCCAACCTTTGAAACGTGCTGTTCTTGAGACGTCTCAAAGGCCAGCAGGCAGTGCGGCTGTCCTGGAGAAGAAACCCCACCGGCAAGGTGAGGGGTGCGGAGCGATGGGGGGGGTGAGGGAGGGACTGGGGGGAGGTGAGGGAGGGACTGGGGGGAGGTGAGGGAGGGACTGGGGGGAGGTGAGGGAGGGACTGGGGGGAGGTGTGGGAGGGACTGGGGGGAGGTGAGGGAGGGACTGGGGGGAGGTGAGGGAGGGACTGGGGGGAGGTGAGGGAGGGACTGGGGGGAGGTGAGGGAGGGACTGGGGGGAGGTGTGAGGGGCGCCTGGCAAGGTAATGGGTGCGTGGTAGGTGAGGTGAGTTTTGAGATGTCTCAAAACACTGCTCCGCGTGCTCCTCCTTGACCACTCTGCTCTCCTCTCCCTACTCCGTCGTTCCCGCTTCTTCTCTTTGCTTCTGACCTTGCTTCTCTATGCAAGTCTGCTCTACCTCTCCTCCTGACTTGACCTGTCTCTTTTCCCTGTGTTCCTCCTCATTCCCTCCCCGTTCCACCGTCGTTCCATCCTCGCCTCCTATTCGTTTCTTCTTTGCCTCTTCGTTTCCCCCAACCCCCTCTCCCCCCCCTCCACCACCCTCCAGCGGCCCCAGCAGCAGTCCTCAGGAGGGCAGCAGCAGAAACAGCAGCAGCAGTCACAGCAACAGCAGCTTCAGCAGCAGCAACAGCAACAGCAACAGCAGCAGCAGCAGCAGCAGCAGCAGCAGCAGCAGCAGCAGCAGCAGATGTGGGGAGCGGCAACAGATCCCAACATTGCAGCAGCGGCTGCATGGGGCCAGCAGCAGCAGCAACAGCAGCAGCAAGTGGCAGCTGCAGCTGCTGCTGCTGGGTTCTACCCGGCCCAATACGGGCCCCCTCCTGGGGCGTTTGATCCCAATGCTCCTGGGTTCGATTCCCAGGTGTGTCTTTCTATTGCGTATCGTGGTTTGGTCATTGATGCATGACCATCGCTTGTCATCTTCTGGAAAGACCCATATCAAACATGATAGATGGAGAGCAAGAGGAGAATCGGACCCCCTCTCCCGCCTTCTCTATTGACTTTTGAAACGTCTTAAAAGACAGGTCACAGGACAGAACTACCTCTTCCACCTTGTCTTTTGAGAAATTTCACAAGTGTCTCCCACCCTCTGTACCTTCTATTTGCTCTCCCAGGCAGCAGCAGCGTACGGCCTACCCCAGGACCCAACAGCCGCAGCAGCCGCAGCAGCAGCGTACATGGGCTACGCTGCAGCAGCAGGTTACAATATGTACGGTGCTGCTCCTGCTGCTGCATACGCACATCCAGGCATGGGTGCCCAAATCCCTGCTATGTCTGCCATGCCCCACCAGCATGCCTTGGCTCTGCAGCAGCAACTGCAGATGCAGCAGCAGCAGGTGCAGATGCAGCAGCAGCATCTGCTTCTGCAGCAGCAGCAGCAGCAGCAGCAGCAGCAGCAGCAGCAGCAGCAGCAGCAGCAGCAGCAGCAGATGGGGCAGCAGATGGGGCAGCAGCCGCAGCAGCAGATGGGGCAGCAGGTTGTGGGGGGGGGTCCGCTAGATGCGGGGCAGCAGGGGGAGGAGCAAGAGCAGCAGGGGCAGCAAGGGCAGCAGGGGCAGCAGGGGGGACAGCTGGTGGGATCGGGGGGTGAGGTGGTGGGGATTTCAGAGCAAGGCGGGGAAGAGAGGCAACAGGGGGGAGGAGCAGCATTGGAGGTACGCCCTACCTAGCTTGTGCAGAATCCTTCGAAATGAACTAGCTTTTGCACAATAGGTTCATGAGAATCCAGCGAGCAGCAGTGAGAATCCAGCGAGAAAGTTTAGCAGTCTGCTTTTTGTACAAAAGCTTCATGAGAATCCAGTTTTGAGACGTCTCAAACCTCAACCTAGGAGCCAAGTAGCTTTTGTAGGTCTCTATGAGAACCCTCAAAGGAGGTATTCCTTGTTTTGCATTGTTGTCATCATGCATTGTTGTCATCATGCATTGTAGGTTCTTTGAGGGAATACTCAAGTTTCTTGGTGATGGCATGATGGGATGCTGAAGCGATGGGTTGAGGGGGTGATGAAGCTGGGGAAGGACTGTTGAGGGGGTGATGAAGCTGGGGAAGGACTGTTGAGGGGGTGATGAAGCTGGGGAATGTTCTCTCCCCATCATCCCTTGCTATCTCCTTATCCGTGTTCTCTCCCTGTCATCCCTTGCTATCTCCTTATCCGTGTTCTCTCCCTGTCATCCCTTGCTATCTCCTTATCCGTGTTCTCTCCCTGTCATCCCTTGCTATCTCCTTATCCGTGTTTTCTCCCTGTCATCCCTTGCTATCTCCTTATCCGTGTTCTCTCCCTGTCATCCCTTGCTATCTCCTTATCCGTGTTCTCTCCCTGTCATCCCTTGCTATCTCCTTATCCGTGTTCTCTCCCTGTCATCCCTTGCTATCTCCTTATCCGTGTTCTCTCCCTGTCATCCCTTGCTATCTCCCCATCCTTGTTCTCTGCCTATCCTCCCGTGCATTCTTCCCTGCGGGCCCGCTTTGTGTGTAAACGTGTGTGTGCGTGCATGTGCATGTGTGTGGGTGTTAATGTGTGTGGGTGTGGGCGTGTGGGTGTGACTGCATGTGCATGTGCATGTGCATGCGCGTGCATGTGTGCATGTGTGAGCAGAGTGGCATACAAGCAACGGGATGAGCCGGGCATATCCAATCCAATGAGGCTGGTACGTGCTAACTTTGCTGCTTCTAAGGGGTGCATGACTGCTTCCCAGACGTCTTAAATCTCGCTCGTTGCTCTATGAGGGGCATAACATAACCAAGCATCGCTGAACGAATTTGAGCATATCTCGCTACTCCCATCCTTCCACACGGCTTGCATACTCTGTGCCCTTACTTACTCTGTGCCCTTACTTACTCTGTGCCCTTACTTACTCTGTGCCCTTACTTACTCTGTGCCCTTACTTACTCTGTGCCCTTACTTACTCTGTGCCCTTACTTACTCTGTGCCCTTACTTACTCTGTGCCCTTACTTACTCTGTGCCCTTACTCTGTGCCCTTACTTACTCTGTGCCCTTACTTACTCTGTGCCCTTACTTACTCTGTGCCCTTACTAACTCTGTGCCCTTACTTACTCTGTGCCCTTACTTACTCTGTGCCCTTACTTACTCTGTGCCCTTACTTACTCTGTGCCCTTACTTACTCTGTGCCCTTACTTACTCTGTGCCCTTACTTACTCTGTGCCCTTACTTACTCTGTGCCCTTACTTACTCTGTGCCCTTACTTACTCTGTGCCCTTACTTACTCTGTGCCCTTACTAACTCTGTGCCCTTACTTACTCTGTGCCCTTACTTACTCTGTGCCCTTACTTACTCTGTGCCCTTACTTACTCTGTGCCCTTACTTACTCTGTGCCCTTACTTACTCTGTGCCCTTACTTACTCTGTGCCCTTACTTACTCTGTGCCCTTACTCTGTGCCCTTCCACTTTTGAGAATTCTCAGAAGTGATTCCCATGACAACGTGCCCTTCCATTTTTTGCACGCTCTAAAATTTGACCATAGCGTGACTCCCATCCCATCACAGTGTGTGTGCGTCTCGTGGCTGTATGTCGCTCCAATCTATCATTCTCACTGCACCCCCACACCCACTAATCACAGTGTATTGTCCTGGCTCGTTACATTTCTCTTCCAACTCACATGCTGTCCCCACACACGGCATGCTCTCTTGCCAACTTGCATGTTTTGCTGAATCACGGCAAGCTGTGCTGTGCTGTGCTGTGCTGTGCTGTGTTGTGCTCCCCAAACCTTACAACCCCAGCTCCAGTAATGTGCAATTCCTCTCCTCCTTCCATTGCGCCCTTTGCCAGTCGCACACATGCAGACAAAAGGACCCACTCTGCTCAGGCTCAGTAGCACATGGCATTCGAGTGCTGCATCGCATTACCTCAATAGATGGGATTGTAGACAGGAAGTGGTGTAGTTCCCCTTTGGCTGTTGGGGTACCTTTACCGTATTAGGCTTGGGAATGGGAAGGGTAAAATGACCCAGCCCAGCCAAGTCAAGCCCAGCACTGGTCCCCCACCCTTGGGCTTATTGACATGAATTGCGAGGGGGGATAATAATCACCAAATGGTTACACTCACATCAACATGATTCTACCTCCGGGTATGGGATTCTACCCATACACAATTGAGAGTCGTTCTTTCGATAGCATTGTTGCTTGTGTACGCCATAAAGCAATCCAACAAACGCTCATACATTTGTCGTGTGTACTTTGTATGGTATTGTAGGCTAGCTGGGTTGAATGTAGACGGTATGGGATGGGACGTTAGATATACTCGCTTGTGTATATCTTCATGTCTCTTTCATTGATTAATTAGCATGGTATCAAGAGTAGGTTCGGTCCCTCGCTTCCGCCGCACCAACCTCCCTATCTGCCTCCTATTAGCGACCCCCTCTAGCGGCCCCCTCTAGCGCCCCCCTCTAGCGGCCCTACCTAGCGGCCTCTTCTAGCACCTCCCCGCCGCAGGCCCCGTCAAGACCTTGCCGCGGCCCCGCCGTCGCGACCTTAGGGCGCGTAACTTTTTCACTTTTCATCGTCCGGACGGAGGCCCCGTCCGGACTTTTGTAGGGTTACAAAATTTGTAAAAGTTCGTCAACAAGTTCGCAAGACCCCTCGCGACGTCGCAATCGTCCGTATGAAGTCTGACACTTTTCTGTCAGTTCATCGTCCGTTCTACGCTGCTGACACCGTCCGGACAGCATTTCGGACCGTCCGGAACTCCTGCAACGTCATTGGTGCGTGAGGCACATTTTTCAGTTACAAATTTCCCACTCCAACTTTCAATTTGTTTGTGTTGTACTCACATTATCGCGAGCAAGAGGACAAAGTGGTTGGAAAGCTCAAACATTACTGAGCCGCAAATCCATGTTTGCGAAGTAGGTGATGTGCTGACGAGGTAGGTAATGCGCGTTACTGTTTCGCATGATTTTCAAATCTCGAAACTGCAAAAAAGTGTCACAAATGTGGTACGGACGCTTCATCGTCCGAACCACATCCCCATCCGTCCAGACGGAGCTCTGTTCGGACGTTTTGGGGGCTCCGTCCGGACATTTGACTAAAAGAGAAAAAGTTACGCGCCCTTACCACCGCGCTTGCCGGCCGCACTTGCAACTGTGCCAACCGCTACTGCCCGTTGTCGCGTTTGCAGCTACTGCACGTCGACGCGCCTGCAACTGCTGCCCGCCGCCGCGCCTTCCGGTGGTCGCTGCCATCGCTCCTGCAACTAGGTCCTACTACTGCCCTGCCGCATTCCTACTACCGCCCTGCTGCGGTTGTGTCGCTGCGCCGCCTGTTGTGCCGCCTGCTGTCTGCCGACCTGCTTCTGACTGTCTTCTCCTCCACCTGTGGTTGCACCCTCTCATCTGCTGCTTCTGCTCACTCTTGTCATGACGTCTGAGTTCATACTACGGCTTAATATGGAGGGGCATGCAATCTACTCTGATGCATGGCTACTCAACGTCAAGCTCACCTGCGTCAATCTCCACCTGCGGCCAGCGCCAGGACGACATTTCCCTATGCGCCCACATGTCAGGTGAGATACCTGTCCCACAGCATCCTGCTGTCAGAATATTATGCTCTAGCCTGTAGTGGGGTGCTCTATAGCGAGTACAACCCTTCTAGGGTTTGCTATTTGTATCCCCATTCTTGCTAGTTCACCCCTCTTCTTTCTTCTAAACTTTGACATGCTATCAGAGCAGGTCGATCCCCTTGGATCGATCCTGTGGGTGGGCTCACCACCTCGTTGCTTCCGCTGCAACTCCTACTGCTACTCTCTGTGCCGCACGCCCCGTGGCGTGCGGCAGTTTTTTCTTCCCGCCGTGCGCCCCGAGGCGCGCGGCGGTTTTCTGCCCGCCGTGCGCCCCGAGGCGCGCGGCGGTTCTCTGCCCGCTGTGCGCCCCGAGGCGCGCGGCGGGCTTCTGCCCCGTCGTTCGACGCGTCGCCCTCGGGAGGCGCCGCGACGGGCGACGGGGACCCGCGTGTCGCCCCCCGTCGCCCGTCGTGGCTTGCGCGCGGCCCGTACAGGCAGCGCGCGGCCCGTACGGGCTGCGCCAGGCCCGCGCGCGGCCCGTACGGGCTGCGCAAGGCCCGCGCGCGGCCCGTACGGGCTGCGCCAGGCCCGCGCACGGCCCGTACGGGCGGCGCCAGGCCCGCGCGCGGCTCGGGCCGCCTGCGCGCGGGTCGGGCGACTGTACCAGGCCTGTGGTGGGCTCGTTCCTTGCTGCCCCTGCCCTCCCCGCTGTCCCCCGGTGCTTCTACTAGCGCCCCACCCCTCCTACTCCCCATTCTCCTGAATTAGGGTTTGGGGGTGAGGGGTATCGGGGTGAACCCACTGTGTGCCGTTCCCAGCTCCTCCTCCTCCTCCGTCTCCCTGTGCTGCAGCTGCCACTGAGGGGGGGTGGACTTGTTGGAGCCGTTGGAGTGGTACTAAGGGGGGGTGAAGGGGGAGTGGAGCTAGGGGTGAAGCAACGGGTGTGTCTCAGGGGGGTGGGACTGTTTGGGGAGGCTGAGAGGAGGCTGCCGTCTTGTCGTCCACAGCACCTGTAGTCCGGGGCGCTGTCCTGGTAGCCCAGAGAGCCTGCTGCGCCTGTCGCCCGTGGGTCTGTTGCTCCTGTAGCTCTTCGTAGCCCGTGAGCCAGTTACTCCAGTAGTCCGGGGCGCTGTTTCGGTAGCCACTGTGCCAGCTGCTCCTGTTGCCCGTGTGCCTGCAGCTTCAGCCGTCGTCTCTCATCTTCTCTCCTCTCATAGTCCCTCCTCCTCCTCGCTTGCCTGCTGTGACTACCACTAGCTTTGCTCATAATTGTGAACTTTAAACTATTGCTTCTTGAACTTGTGCTCAGAGTGTGTGGAGACATTGTGATCCACCCTGAGCTTGTACTGCTTTGCTTGCTCTGCTGATTACACCCCACTTTGGCTATGGGGGTGTGTCAGAATATTATGCTCTAGCCTGTAGTGGGGTGCTCTATAGCGAGTACAACCCTTCTAGGGTTTGCTATTTGTATCCCCATTCTTGCTAGTTCACCCCTCTTCTTTCTTCTAAACTTTGACACCTGCTGCTCTTCCTACTGTGCCTACGCTGGAGGGGCGGGAGGCTCACCGTGTGAGCCCAGTTGCGTACTCAATTTGGGAGTCGTGTGATGCCGCTGCATGCCTTGCTCTTAGTCGCATCCTGCCGTCGACCGAGCGACCCAGACCAAGACGGCGAAGGCATGTCTTGATTGCTCGCAACCCCACCCCCTCCCATGCTAGTCTAGGGTACTCTCCTGATGCCTTCCCTAATCTCCTTGCTTTCTCCACTGTCGCTGACCTTACTACCCAATTGCGCTCAAGCAACGCTAACTTCCGCGCTGCTTGCGCTACTCACGACCTTGCTGAGCATGCCCCCATGTAAGCCACCTTGCACTTCCCAGCGTCCCGCCTCCCAGAACGCATCGCGCCTACTCGCAACGCCCTCCTCGCCATGCACCCCATGCTGTCTCCTGTGTCGCTTGACCCGACTCCTACCTCCCACCACTAGGTTCGTCGTCCCTTTCGTGCTCGCCCCGTGTCTCCCCTTCTCTCGCGTCTCCCGTGCTCCGCCACCCTCTATTCTCCTATCGCCTTGTTTGTCGTCCCTTGCAGTCTCCTCCCCTATGTTCTCTAACTTTCTTCTTGCCGCTCACCCTATAGTCTTCCGTGTCATTCTCTTCCTCGTTACCGAACCCACTGCTCCTCCTCCATCCATCTCTGCTCTTGTCATTGCTGTAGCTGGATTTGCCTCTACCCGACGCCTTGATTACGCCAATAATATGTTTTCTGCTCCTACCCGCTCTCCTTCCTTCGGTGGTGTATTTACCCTTAGTATTGATGTCATGGAGGATAGGCGGTACGAGCTGGCTTTCCCTGCAGCTGCTGCCCTGTTAACGGGAATGAAGTGTTGGCCCCGCCCTCGCTTGGGCAACGCCGACAACTTGGTCGGATGTACGGAAGTAGCAGCCGACTTCTCACAGTGGGATAGCTGCTCGACAGGTTACGTCGAGCTGCAGCGGACCACTGTGGTGTTGCTGTCGACCAGGATGCTCGACAGCTGCACCTGACTGGCCTGGGCGACGGGTGAGCCGTCCGGGAGGTCGATGAAGCAGTCCGTCGACCTACAGTTCGACGGGGAGGTCTATGGAGCATCCCGTCGAGCTGCAGCTCGACCGGGAGGTCAACGGAGCGTCCCGTCGAATTGCAGCTCGACCGGGAGGACAACGGAGCATCCCATCGAACTGCAGTTCGACCGGGAGGTCGACAGAGCAGTTCTGGTCGACGGAAGGGGTCCGTCGACCAAGGGGTAGCTTGACGGGAGGCACCTGGGAGTCGACCAGAGCACCAGGGGTCGACCAGGTCGACCGGGTAACCTGCTCGACGAGTTCTGCGGAGGCACGCGAACGTCGTCGAGATCGCGATGGCGCAGGCGACTTCGGGCTGGTATCCCGAAGTCGATGTGGCTCGTCAGGCGCAGACAAACAGCCGACGGATGCCCAACGAGGCAAGTCGGGCCAATCGTCTGCGCACACCTGTGAGCGCGCGCACTGCTGTGTTCTACGGGGCACGCCGTCGACCTGCTTTGTTGGCAGGTCGCCCTTCTGCAGTGCTGGCGCGGCTCCTCTACGCAATGCTGGCAGGCGGTCGACCGAGCTGCGCTGGCGGTCGACCAGGCTGGCTGCAGGGTTGCTAGGTGCCTGATTTAGTCATTGTTGTCATTGCTTCTTGATTATTCTGGAATTCCAACTTTGCTAGTGAAAACTCTTGCCAAATTCTTCCGTGAATGTGCAAACACTAAGGAACTAAGCAAAGCTAAGATCACCTCTAGTAGTTCGTGCCAACCCCTGTAGTCTAGCTCACTACCGTTGTAGAGTTAATCTCCACATGGTGCGGTGAGCATGGATCGAACACGCGACCTTCAGATAGGAGCCGACTTTTGCACCTACT